TGAAGTGAGTCCTAGGGCGTCGCCGCGCAGAGGCAAAACTCGTGTCTGTTTCCGTTTCCCTCCACCATTCGCCTCCTCTCCTGCTGCGTCTAACCCTCCCTTTGTTGCTCTGTTTCTGTCTGCGTGCATCTCTCCCCGCGCGTGTGTGTGCTTCTCGGCCTGTGAGGCGGAGGGGAATGTCAGGGAGTGGACGGGGGGGTGACAAGCTTGCGGGCTCCGTTCCTGCACTGGTGCCAAGACACAACAGCAGCGCTGGTGAGTCGTAGCAGCAGTATCAACGCCGCTTGTTTTTTCAGCCAAGTATTTTCTCCTCCGAACGCTTTGCCTTTCGTCATGCCAAGCGCTCATCACCTGTACTGCATGTGCTGCACTGCTTTGTCCTCTGAAATCTCGCCAATGGCTGGTTTTGGCCTAACTCACAAGCCACAGTCCCTTGTTATTGCAGCAGACAACACACAACCTGGAGCAGCACGCCCGTCACCTAAGCACGGGCAGCAGCAGGTGCTGCTTGGGGCGAATGTGTGGCGCAAGAGCGGCAGGCTCTGTTAAGGAGGAGAAGTGGTACGTGCCAGGGGGTGCTTGCAGGGGGGCCGTGAAGTGTCGCCGCGCAGAGGCAAGTGTCATGTCTGTTGCCTGTGCCTCCACCACTCGCCTCCTCTCCTGCTGCTCCTAACCCTCCCTTGTTGTGCCGCTTCTGTGTGTGTCTCTCTCTCCCCATTCGTGTGTGTGCCTCATGTCCTGCGAGACGGACGGGGGTGGCAGCTAGTGGACGGGGGTGGCAGCTAGTGGACGGGGGTGGCAGCTAGTGGACGGGGAGGCAGAGAGTGGGAAGGGGATCACCAGTGGCTGCATCCTTGCTTCGGTAGCCACTGAGTCAGCCGCTCCTGTGCCCGTGCCTCTGCAGCTTCAGTCGTTGCCTCCCATCTACTCTCCTTCACAGTCTCTCCTCCTCCTCACTAGCCCTCTGTGATTAGCTCTAGCTTTGCTTACCTTTGTAAACTCCTGCTCTATACCTGCTTGCTCATTGTACTGATTACACCCCACTTTGGCTATGGGGGTGTGTCAGAATGTTATTCTCTAGCCTGTAGTGGGGTGCTCTATAGCGAGTACAACCCATCTAGGGTTTGCTATATGTATCCTCATTGCTGCTAGTGAAACCTCCTTCTTTGCCTAAACTTTCACTTGCCTAGCTAGGGCTCAGGATGATGGCGAGCACACAAGAGGTTGTGAGTGGACCAGGTCAAACAGTATACCATCTTCCTGCTTTCTCTTCCGTTCTCTCGTGTCTACCATCCCCCCACGGCGCCCTTGAGTCTTTGCAGCTGTGCTGCCATGTTTGTATGCACTCTTCTCAGCTCCCAAACCCCTCCTCTCCTGTCCTCTCCTCCTTTCTGCAGCGACCGGTGGTTGCGACGGCAGCAACGACTGCAGTAGCAGAAGCATCGGAGCAACCGGGAGCACGGGCAGCAGCAGGGCGCTGCTTGGAACGAAGGCTTGGCGCAGCAGCAAGAGAGCAGCCTGGAGTAGCACGATGGAAGAGAAGGCGTGGTGCAGGCAGAGCGGCACGGTGGCAGACGGGGCGTGGTACGTGCCATGGGGTGCTTGGCGGGGGGCTGTGAAGTGAGTCGTAGGCGTCGCCGCGCAGAGGCAAGAGTCGTGTCTGTTGCCTTTGCCTCCACCACTCGCCTCCTCTCCTGCTGGTTCTAACCCTCCCTTGCTGCATCGCTTCTGTGTGGCTGTCTCTCCCCTCATGCGTGTGTGTGCCTCATGGCCTGCAAGACGGAGGGGGAGGGAGCGGACGGGGAATGGACGAGAGGCAACCATGTAGCGAGGAGAAACGGCACCTTCATTCTCCTGCTAAGTTTCTTCAAGTCAAAAGGTAACCATGCATGGTAACCTGAAGTTCAGATGCACCATGCATGCCATTCTATCTCAGTCCCTTCTCCAGCTTTCGTCTGCCGGCTCATCCACTCACTCCTCTTTTCTTGCTCAGGCCTCGCTTCCTCTTCCTTGCCTTCCTCCCTCCCCTCACCTCCAGCACTCAAGGGGCACTGATCACCAGTGGCTGCAGCAATGCAGGGGTCACCAGTGGCTGCAGCAACGCAGGGATCACCAGTGGCTGCAACAGCTGCGGGAGGATGTCAAGCACACAAGGAGACGTGAGTCCATCAGACCAACCAGTACACCGCTTCTCCATTCGCCGTGTTGCTGCGCTCTCGTGTTTAGTTCGGTCATGTCTACCATCTCCCCACGGTGCCCACGTATCTTTGCTGGTGTGCTGCCATATTTTCATGGCACTCTTCTCAGCTCGGAAACCTCTCCACTCCTGCCGTCTGCTTTTCTCAACTCTCCGCCCGTTCATCAGCAGCTTTTATCCCGAGCGAGCGCTGTGAGCAGCCGCATTGGCAGCAGCAGCACTGGTGGCAGCAGCAGCACTGGTGGCAGCAGCAGCAGTGGAGGAGTGAGACATAGCCAAGTGCCGCACCTTTTGTCCAGAACCAGCCGCATGGGCAGCGGTGCCAGTGGTGGCAGCGTCAGTTGCAACGTCAATGGCGGCTGCAGCAGAGAAGGAGGGGTGAGTGCAGCTTATCCTATCGCAACCAAGCTCCCTCTATTTGCTGGTTGTTCAATGCCGCTCGTGCTCTTGTCAGACCTTACCCGTCTCCCCTCACCCTTGTCTATGTGGCTCGTTCTCTTGTCTTGCTGTATGCAGTTAACATCATACCCTCGCCTCACTCCCCCTTCCCTGTCCAGGAAGATGGCCAGGCCAGCACACAAGGAGTTGTGAGCACACCACACCTGGAGCAGCACGTCTGAAGAGAAGGCGTGGCGCGGGAGTGCGAGAGCAGCCGAGGGAGCATGGTACGTGCCAGGGGGTGCTTGCAGGGGGGGCCGTGAACTGTCATTGGGTGTCGCCGCGCAGAGGCAAGAGTCGTGTCTGTCGCTTGTGGGTCCACCACGTGCCACCTGCTGCTTCTAACCTTCTTCTATGTGTGTCTCTCTCCCCCCATGTGTGTGTCTCTCTCTCCCCCCATGTGTGTGTGTCGCTCTCTCCCAATTTGTGTGTGTGTGCCTCATGGCCTGCGAGACGGAGAGCAGTGGCAGCCATGGATGCCTCAAGTGAAGGCGTGGCGCAGGAGTGAGAGAGCACCGGATGGAGCGTGGTATGTTCCAGGGGGTGCTTGCAGGGGGGCCGTGAATTGAGGCGTAGTGTGTCACCGCGCAGAGGCAAGAGTCGTGTCCTGTTCTTGTCTTTGCCATTCGCCTCCTCTCATGCTGCTCCTAATGCTCCCTTGTTGCGATGCTTCTGTGTGTGTGTGTTTCTCTCTCACCATGCGTGTGTGTGCCTCGTGTCCTGCGAGGCGGACTGGAATGGCAGCGAGTGGACGGGGACTGTGCATGTGCGTGAGGGGGGAAGGGGGAAAGAGGACGGGGGCTGTGCATGTGTGCGTGTGCGTGTGTGCATGCCTCTGAGTGTGCCTCTCAGCCTTCAAGCTCCGGAGTGTGGCAGATTGCTCGTGGTGCAGGAGTGGGAGAGCAACGGACGAAGCATGGTACGTGCCAGGAGGTTCTTGCAGGGGGGCCGTGAAGTGAGTCGCCGCGCAGAGGCAAGAGGCAAGAGTTTTTTATTCTGCCGCTCGCCTCCTCTCCTGTTGCTCCTAACCCTCCCTTGTTGTGCCGCTTCTGTGTGTGTGTTTTCTCTCCCCATGATTGTGAGGCGCGGGGGGGGTGAGGGGTGGAACATGGTGGGTGTGATGGGAGATTCTGCAGGGGGGGGTTGCGGGCCTTGTTATCGTACATTTCTCACTTAGTGCTCGCCTTTCAATGGCGATCTGACGTGGATACAATTCACAGCTAACATTTGCCGCTGATCATCTTCACTTCTGCAGCTTCTGATTTGCTCCTCCTCTTTCTCATTCTTCCTTCTTTGTCCCATTACTGGCGGTCCTGATGGCAGCTTCTCCTCGTAAGTGGCTCTTCTATGGCGAAGTGCAGGGCGAGGTAGAGGACATGTGGGGTGGGCTGCCGCTTGCTGGTGCCGCTTAGAAGACATGTGGGCTGCCGCTTGCTGGTGGACCGACCACCAAGAGCTTAAGAAGATGGACCACTGCTTGCTTTGCTTTGCTTATCTGTCCTTTGGTGTGCCAAGGTTTGCTTAGGAGTGCTTAGGTTTGCATAGGTGTGTTGTGTTGTGCTGGGCTGGGATGGTCCTGCATATTGTGGAATAGGTGGCTGGGGTGGGGTGGGCAGGGCAGCCTTGAAGGTGCCTGGGCACAAACACCCAAGCAGGTGCTGTGCCGTGCCAGGCAGACACGCAGTGGTGGAACGAACGTAGAAACGCAGAGGCAGGACACTGAAGCACGCGCTGCATGCAGCATGCATGCACATGCAGAACAAGCTACCACAAAGAAGTCACTAGGAGACAGCCAAACCCCTAACACACGTGATTGTCAGGGACTGACAGGAAGCAGGATTGGCACAGATGGTGCACAAACAGCGGTACAGAAATGGTAGGTGCCATGCCACGGCCATCAGTCAATCAGCAAATCGGACAAGTAGCCAAGTAGTAAAACAGCCAACCAGTCAACAAACACTCCAGCCTACCAGCCATCTAGCTAACCAGCCTGCCTCAGCCATCCAGAAATCAACACTCCAGTCCAGCAGCCTGCCTACCCCACATCCTGGCCTCAAGATTCAACAGGGTATCTGTACACTTTTTGAATCGATAACCGTCTATGTACAGTGTACACCCGTACTGACAACGAATCAAGTGAAAATACCTCGCTATTGCACACTCCCGCTTCGTCTCGCTCTGCCATTTCGTCTGACAAATCCCTCCATTTCGTCATCTCGTCAATGATCCATATCAGTTGATTTTCCTCTGTCCCGTGCGTTGTCCCACCGTTTCTTGTCGTCTTCAACTAACGCGCAAGCCAGGCGTCATGATCGGTGCCGTGAAGTGATCGCGAGCTCGGCGTCGCGTCGGAATCGAGGCAGCCATGGCGGCGCGGCTCGCCGTTTCAACGGCCGTCGCAGCGTCGTTTCGTCAAATTCAGTTCTTCAACGTTGTAGCGTCCTCCCATCCCGCCATCGCAGCCTGCGAGATTGCATCGTTTCGCCACGCTCTGGTTACCAATGCCTTCGCCGTGCGACCGCCGCTAGTCGCATGCGCGCCGCTCCATCGCGCCTCCCCTGCCGTCGATTCCTCTCACAGGAACTCAAATCCGATTCGTTCGACCAGCAGGCGCGGCGATTCCGGTTCTTCCGCCTGTAGCAACGAACGCGCGCTCCCCTCCGCACGCGTATTCCCCGTCGCTCCAGTCTCCGTTTCCCTTCGGCCATCCCTTCTCCTAGACTCGCCTGTCAAAGAATTGGACATCCCTTTGGCCCTCGACGCCGCTCTCGGCATTCCCCAGGCCGTCGTCGCGCTCCCCCACTGCTCCGCGTCTTCCGCTTCTTCCGCCTTCCGCCGATCGCTTGCTTCCGCTTCCCCTTCGTTACCTCCTTCTACACTCCGCACATCAGCGCACCCCGCCAATTCGCTCGTCCTCCAGGTTTCTCCGTTACCACTTTTGAACCACCAACGGCCTCGCTTCTCGTCTTCCTCTCCCTACCCCCACTCTTCCGGCTCCTCCCCCTCCTCCCCCTCCTCCCCCTCCTCCGCTTCCTCCCCTTCCTCCCTCTTCGCCTGGTCTGCCACTCCCGCCGCGCTTTCCCCCTCCTCCGCTTCCGCCCGCGCGTTCTCCACGTCGTCCGCCTTCCCCCCGCCGTCGCCGCACTCGCGCGGAGCGCTCACGAGCAGATGGGCGGCGGACAGGAAGCGGAAGAAGGAAGCTTCGAAGAAGGTGCGGCTGGCGATTAACGCACTGAGGGAGCGGCAGTGGCAGGCGGAGAGAAGACGAGCGGAACAGGAGGGGACGTGGCAGGGGCAGGGGGGCGGGCAGGGGCAGGGGGGAAGGACGGGGGATAGTGGCACCAGCAGCAGCGTCAGCAGTAGTGGCAGCGACAGCGGCAGCAGCGGCGGCAGTGATATGCGAGGGATGGTGGGTGAATGGATGGCTCGCCTTCAGCAGTTGCAACACACCTCCACTTCCTCCTCCCCTTCCTCATCGCTGTCCTCGGCCCCAGCAGCACCACCCCCACCACCACCACCGCCGCCATCAGCAGCAGCGGGCAGCAGCGTGGGGTCGACAGTAGGAGGCGTGGAGCCGCTAGTGGGACCACTGAGACCACAGAGCAGCGACGAGGTGAGGGGTGACTGTATGGCATGTGACTGTATGGCACGCACTGTATAGTCCAGTTTTCCCTACTCTGCTCTCCCTTCACCCCCCCTGCGCCTCTCACCGCGCCAGGTATCTGTGGCGTTGCGTCCCATGCGCTCTGATCTCAACCACTTTGCTTTTCCCGTTGTTTCCCTCCACTCGTCCTCCCCCCTGCCCCCCACACCCGCCAGGCGTCACTGGCGTCGCTGCTGGCACGGTCGGACCTGGTGGTCACTCGCAGGGTGGAGTGGGGCAACATGCTGCTGGGGTACGAGCAGGTGCAGTGTGGTGCCCATGGGTCCACTGGTGCTCGCATGGAGTAAAACGTTGTTGTGCGTTGTTTGCCCGTCTCTGGTTCCAACCCTCCCGTCTGCATTCCTCGCCCTCCTTCCTCTCATTCTCCCTCGCCCCTGCTCCTCACTCGCATCGCATGTGCCCCAGTTTCTAACTCGTCCTTTTCCTCCCATGTGTCCATGCACGCCCCGCCGATACCAACAGAGCAACCAGTATGCTATCGTGGACGCGCACACAGGCGAGGTCAGTCCCAAGTCACACACCTGCAACGTTGTCAGTATGCAACTCGCTGTGCTCCTTCGTTGCTCCAATTGTGTGTTGTTAGCACAACCCTCCCCTTCCCCCTCCCCCCCCCCCCCCCTCTCTGCCTATGTGCACCCCGATTAGATCTCTATCTCTTGAGTTCCATTGTTCCCAACCCGTTTGGCACCCTGCGTGTCAGCAACACCTCACCGCTCGTGCCTTTTCCTCTGTATTTCCCCGTTGCAACCCCCCCACCATGGCCCCCCACCATGCCCCACCATGCGTCATGCGGCATCCCTGCAGCACGTGGGGGCCATTGTGGAGAGCAGCAACTGGCTCATGCGGCAGGTGTGAATGGGGTGGGTGCAAGGGGGTGGGTGTAATGGGGGTGGGAGCATCGCACGGTCATACGCTGCACCGCCTGCTCATACGCTGCACCGCACGCTCATACGCTGCACCGCACGCTCATACGCTGCACCTCACGCTCATACGCTGCACCGCCCACTCATACGCTGCACCGCCCGCTCATACGCTGCACCGCCCGCTCATGCGCTGCATCGCACGCTCATACGCTGCACCGCACGCTCATACGCTGCACCGCCCGCTCATACGCTGCACCGCCCGCTCATACGCCGCACCGCCCGCTCATACGCCGCACCGCACGCTCATACGCCGCACCGCACGCTCATACGCTGCACCGCCCGCTCATACGCTGCACCGCCCGCTCATACGCTGCACCGCACGCTCATACGCTGCACTGCCCGCCCATACGCTGCACCGCCCGCTCATACGCTGCACCGCCCGCTCATACGCTGCACCGCACGCTCGTACGCTGCACTGCCCGCCCATACGCTGCACCGCCCGCTCATACGCTGCACCGCCCGCTCATACGCCGCACCGCCCGTCATACGCTGCACTGCCCGCTCATACGCCGCACCGCACGCTCATACGCTGCACCGCCCGCTCATACGCTGCACCGCACGCTCATACGCTGCACCGCCCGGTCATAAGCTTCACCGCACGCTCATACCCTGCACCGCCCGCTCATACGCTGCACCGCACGCTCATACGCTGCACCGCACGCTCATACGCTGCACCGCACGCTCATGCGCTGCACCGCCCGCTCATACGCTGCACCGCGCGCTCATGCGCTGCACCGCCCGCTCATGCGCTGCACCGCCCGCTCATACGCTGCACCGCCCGCTCATGCACTGCACCGCCCGCTCATACGCTGCACCGCCCGCTCATACGCTGCACCGCCCGCTCATACGCTGCACCCCGCTAATACGCTGCACCGCCCGCTCATACGCTGCACCGCCCGCTCATACGCTGCACCGCACGCTCATGCGCTGCACCGCACGCTCATACGCTGCACCGCACGCTCATACGCTGCACCGCCCGCTCATACGCTGCACCGCCCGCTCATACGCTGCACCGCCCGCTCATACACTGCACCGCCCGCTCATACACTGCACCGCCCGCTCATACGCTGCGCTGCACCGCACGACGCCTTCGGTTGTACTCTGTTCGTTGCCTGCTTTGTGCTTGTATCTCTCTCCACCTCTTCACATCCAGATTATTTACTCCTGGATTCACAAGCTCACTCCCCTCTTCGGCTCATCTCCTTCCTGTCCCCCACCGTCCTCTCCCCCCATGTCAGTTCCTGAGGGCGCATCGCCCCTTCACCGCGTCCATCCACGACGCACACGGCACGCTCCTGCTCACCGTGGGTATCACACTCATGCCTGAGCCCGCTCAAACTCGGTTCATGGTGTCAATCTGCTCATTTAATCCACTCGAAGATGGCTTACTAAACGAAGCTGCTTGGGGCAGGGCTCTTGTTGTTGTGCTTATGATACTTGCTGTCTCCTGCCTCTTGAGGCGCCTCAAAGGGCGCTTGTTGTTGTGCTTATAAAACTTGCTGTCTCCTGCCTCTCGTCCCATCACCCTTCCCCCCCCTGCGCCGGCCCCCCATGCGCCCTTCTTCCCCGTGCGCCCCTGTTCCCCATGCGCCCTTCTTCCCCATGCGCCCTTCTTCCCCATGCGCCCCTTACCATGCGCCCCTCTCCATGCACCCCTCCCCTATCTGCTGTGTCAGGTGCGGCGGCCCATGTTTTTCATCACCAGCACCATCTACGTTGATCTGCCTGGTCAGGTGAGATTTCAGGTGCATTCAGGTGGAATTTTAGGGGATTTTGTCCCTGCCATGCCACTTTTGTCCCTGCCATGCCACGTATGCCACATGTGTCAACTTGTGCACTCTTTCTCAGTATCCCCATCCGATGTGCATGTGTGTATGTGCTTGCATGTCTTTGAGTGTGTGCATATGCTGGCATGTCTTTGAGTGTGTGCATATGCTGGCATGTCTTTGAGTGTGTGCATATGCTGGCATTTCTTTGTGTGTGTGCATGTGCTTGCATGTCTTTGTGTGTGTGGATGTGCTTGCATGTCTTTGTGTGTGTGCATGTGCTTGCATGTCTTTGTGTGTGTGCATGTGCTTGCATGTCTTTGTGTGTGTGCATGTGCTTGCATGTCTTTGTGTGTGTGCATGTGCTTGCATGTCTTTGTGTGTGTGCATGTGCTTGCATGTCTTTGTGTGTGTGCATGTGCTTGCATGTCTTTGTGTGTGTGCATGTGCTTGCATGTCTTTGTGTGTGTGCATGTGCTTGCATGTCTTTGTGTGTGTGCATGTGCTTGCATGTCTTTGTGTGTGTGCATGTGCTTGCATGTCTTTGTGTGTGTGCATGTGCTTGCATGTCTTTGTGTGTGTGCATGTGCTTGCATGTCTTTGTGTGTGTGCATGTGCTTGCATGTCTTTGTGTGTGTGCATGTGCTTGCATGTCTTTGTGTGTGTGCATGTGCTTGCATGTCTTTGTGTGTGTGCATGTGCTTGCATGTCTTTGTGTGTGTGCATGTGCTTGCATGTCTTTGTGTGTGTGCATGTGCTTGCATGTCTTTGTGTGTGTGCATGTGTCCACGTGTGCCTGTGTGTGCATGCCAACTCATGCACGTATGTATGTAACACGTACATGCATTGCTCCATCACCATGCCAGAAGGGCATAGGGCAGGTGCACAGGAGGTGGCACCTGTGGAAGCGAGTCTATGATGCGTACCTGCAGTGAGTTCCTATGCTTGCTGCCTCTCCTTCTTGCACTCACTGCTTCTCTCTGCCTGCACTCACTTCTCATGCCAGAAGGGCATAGGGCAGGTGGCACCTGTGGAAGCGAGTCTATGATGCGTACCTGCAGTGAGTGTTGCTTGCTTCCTCTCCTCCTAGTTCTGACAAGCGTCTGGCATTGAGTGCGCTTGTGCTCCCATTGGGATAATCGAATCCCGTTGGGATAATCAAATCCCATTGGGATAATCGAATCCCGTTGGGATAATCGAATCCCATTGGGATAATCGAATCCCGTTGGGATAATCGAATCCCGTTGGAATAATCGAATCCCGTTGGGACCTCGAATCACTTCACCCATCTCCACACGTTGCTTCTTCGCTGCACTTTCTGTTTCATAACGGTGCCCGGGCGCGTCATGGTTTAGCATGCGAGGGGTAGCATGTGAGGGGTAGCATGCAAGGGATAGCATGCGGGGGGGGACTGGAGCTGCAGTCCCGGGGGGGGGACTGGAGCTGCAGTCCCGGGTGGGGGACTGGAGCTGCAGTCCCGGGTGGGGGACTGGAGCTGCAGTCCCGGGTGGGGGACTGGAGCTGCAGTCCCGGAGTGGGGACTGGAGCTGCAGTCCCGGAGTGGGGACTGGAGCTGCAGACCCGGGTGGGGGACTGGAGCTGCAGTCCCGGGTGGGGGACTGGAGCTGCAGTCTCGGGTGGGGGACTGGAGCTGCAGTCCCGGGTGGGGGACTGGAGCTGCAGTCCCGGAGTGGGGACTGGAGCTGCAGTCCCGGAGTGGGGACTGGAGCTGCAGACCCGGCGTGGGGACTGGAGCTGCAGTCCCAGCTTGGGGACTGGAGCTGCAGTCCCGGGTGCGGGACGGGATCTGCAGTCCCAGCTGGGGAACCATGGCGTCCCCGGGCATCATGACGCGTCAGGATTTCTTCTATTGCACAGATCCTACTTCCATCCCTCCCTATGAGCCAGTCGCTTAAACTCCTTCCCTCCGCCACTCCGCTCGTCGTTTCGTGCAGCAAACAGCAGTTTGCGAGGGTGGTTAACCCTGGCTTTTGGTGGTGGTCCTTCGCTCTGTGCGACGCCGAGGGGCAGAGGCTAGCGGAGATCACCCGCAACTGGCGGGGGCTGGGCTTTGAGGTGCGCTGGGAAGGTAGTGGGGCCTGGGATGAGGTGCGGGAGGGGAGGCAGGGAATGTTTGTGAGGTGTGTGTATGGTGCATGATGGCATGAGGGGATTGTTGAGCGTAGCACATGATGTGGTGCTTGTGCTGTGCGTGAGAGCCAGCCGTTGCGGGCACCAATGCTGCAATGCGTGTCTCGTCATTTCTGGGCATCGTGCCGGCAGGTGTTCACGGACTCTGGGCACCAATGTCAATGCTGCAATGAAATATCCGGTCTCTGTGTTGTTGTGGTAAACAGGTGTTCACAGATGCGGGGCAGTACGTGGTGCGATTCGGGTCCGTGCGGCACTGGCAGCAGCAGCAGCGGGACAAGCAGGAGCAGCGGGAGAGGGAGGGCAGGGAGGGTGAGGAGGAGAAGGTGCAGCAGTATCATCAGCCATGGTTCTCAACAGAGGCCGACGAGGTGAGATGAACGCCAGAAGCTCCATGGCACTGCAAGTGGCAGTGCCTGCATGTACTGAGTGCATGCCCGTTTGTCCAACCCTCTTGAGATATTTCCCTCCCACCACTGCCCTACCTGCCCTCCCACCACTGCCCTGCCTGCCCTCCCACTGTAACCGTTTGCAGGGTCCCGTTCTCTCAGTGGCGCGCCCGCTCTCTCTGCTGGAGCGGGCAGTGTGTCTGGCGCTGGCCGTTTCACTCGACAACGACTACTTCTCCCGCCACAGGTCAGTGGTCAGCACTTGCCGCAGGTCCCCTGCTCTCTGTGACGCGCCCTCTCTCTCTGCTGGATGGAGAGAGCAGTGTGTGTGGCGCTGGCCGTCTCACTCGACAACGACTTCTCACGCCACAGGTCAGTTGTCAGTGGGCGGCACACGCCATAAGTCAGTTGTCAGTGGGCGGCACATGGCACAGGTCAGTGGGTCAGTGGGCGGCACTTGCCGTGCGTTGCCTGGTATGACGGGTGCGGTTGTGCAGCATTGGGCTGGCCGTTTCATTCGACAATGGCTACTTCTCTCGCCACAGGTCAGTGGTCAGTGGGCGGCACACAGCACAGGTCAGTGGTCAGTGGGCGGCACACAGCACAGGTCAGTGGGCGGCACAATCCGTGAGCTGCTTAGTATGATTGGCACTGTTGTGTGGCGGCAGCTTGTTCCATGCACCGTGTCACTGCCATACCTGTCGCGGTCTCTTGGTTATTATCTGTGTGACCACACACCAATGTGTGCTGACTGATTCTCTATCACGTGCCTTTTATTCTTGCTTGCAGCCATTCAGGCGGGATGTTTTCCTTCTTACCTTTCATCGGCGGTGATGACGCTATTTAGGGAATCGGTCTATGAACCAGAAAATTGGTTCATATGGTAGGTGTTTTGGTTTCGATTGTGGAGAGCATGGAAGTTGAAGGGAGGACCATGGATGTTGATAAAGTGTACAGAAAGGGCTTGCCTCAATCTCCTTTCATGCTGAGCTGCTTGGGAAGCCATTGAGATGAGCATGCAATACAGCCAAACAGGTGGAACCTGCACTAACGAGTCCTAACGTTCGGAAAATATATCTCCATAAATTGGAGCTTTGGAAGTTGGTAGGAAGATCTAGGTAATATCCTAGCCAGGCTGTACCGAATACACCGTCGCTACTGGCTCGTGGTTTCCTATCGTCGCCACCCACGACCAGTGTTGGCGCGCTCTGACACACCACTGCCTGTCAACAACACCCCTACTTGGGGTGGGGCACCTTCCCCAGTACCCTCCCGCCAAGTCTTCTCCACAGAGCAGGCAGCCCCTTCCGCCAACGTGGGTATTGGGCAACCGAAAACCATAGCCACGCAGCAAGTCTTTGCTGCTCGCCGATTCCTTGTCTAGCTGCTCCTGACTCATCCCAGCCATGCAGTCTCCCAGTCACACAGACTAGTTCGCAACTTTGACTTACCACCTAACCGCAGAACGGCCTTCATTAGAAACCAATTCTTGTAGCAGCTCCGACGTCATCGTAAATCCCAATGGCGAGGGACAGCCGACTCGCCGCGCGTCGCTGCTCGCTGTGTCTTGCGCATCCCGTGCCGTCCGACCCGCGCCGCTAGGGTGTATACGCCGCTACTTCCGATCTCAACTTAGAAAACGCAATCTGCAGTCGGGTCTGTATCGGAGGAGGGCAGCAGCGGCGGCACTTCGAGTCGCTCACACAGTCTGACTCTGGCTCTCTGGGGACGCTTGACTCTGTTGACCATCTGTACATTCACAATACTCTAACAGGCTCCACACGTGACGAAGCCAGCGCGGTTGTTATAGTCTTCCACTATCGCCAATTCATTTAGTCCAATAATGCCAACCAGCTGCTCTTGACGCGAGCCTTAGTTCCCTTCTGTCCTATTGTCACCTCATTACAAGGCAGCGCATTAGCGGGCAGCGCAGAAAGCGGCGGCAAGATGTCGGTGAGCACGTCCGCGTTATACGCGATCATGTTCCTGTGCGCCGCCTTCGTCTTCTCCTTCCTCTTCCGCGTCCTCCGCGCGCTGCTGCTGCACGCCGCGCTGCTCTCGCCGCTCCCGCGCCGATCCGACGACCCAGATTCCACCATCCACGTGCGCACCGTTCTCGTCATTGACGGAGTTCCGGAGGGCGCGCCAGCGCACGCGGGGGAAGGGGAAACGGGGGGCGCGGGAGGGGGGACAAGAGGGAAAGGGTTGCGGGCGGAAGAGATTGCGCAGCACAGCGATTTGATTCGGTACAGTGAGGTAAAGGAGGAGCGGAGAGTAGAAGAGAGGGATTTGGTAGTGGTTGAGATAGGCGAGAGGGGGGAGCGAGAGCAGGGTTGGGATAGTGAAAAGGCGCGCGCGGGGACGGAAGGTGGTTCTGAGGCAGCGTGTGAGGGGGAGGGGCAGCGAGAGGCGGATAGAGAAACGGACGCAGCAAGAGCAGCGGCGGCAGTAAACGGACAGGGCAGTGAAATGGCTGAGCGGCGACGGGACGTGGATGGTTCGAGCGAGCGTCTTGTGAAGACGCAGCACAAGAAGCAGGAGACAGAGGAGAAGGGGGCGGGAGCTGCACGGGCAGCAGAAGCAGGAGGAGGAGGAGGGGCAGGGGGCGGAGCAGTAGGGGGCGGAAGAACAGGGGGCGGAAGAGCAGGGGGCGGAGAGGAAGGAGAGGGAGGAGTGGAGGGGGTATGGGGGGCATTGGCGGTGGAGTGTTCAGTGTGCTTGACGGAGTTCAAGGAGGAGGAGCGAGTGAGACGACTGCACTGCTGCACCCACATGTTCCACCAGGTGCTGCCCTGCTGCTCTCCACATGCCATCTGTTCTGTTTTGCATGACACCTGCACATGCATTTGCACAAGCACGCACATGCACGTCGGCAGGCACGCACGTGCGCACGCACACACAAACTCATGCATACACAAGCGAATCACTCTCTCTCCACTCGTCTGCACGCTCTCTCTTGATCCTCTCCACTCTCGTGCTCTCCCTCCGTCCCTTTCTGCCTGGCCTGCTGTGTCCATTCACTGCATTTTTATTCATCTGATGTGCCTGCAACCATGCCAGTGTTATTTCTCCAATTGGTATTATGCACTGCCCACCTCTCTCCACATGCTGTCACCCCGCTGTTTCCTTTACCCAGGAGTGCATAGATGGCTGGCTTCAAGCCCACACCTCGTGCCCATTGTGTCGTGCGTCAGTGGTGCCATCAAAGCACCAACACCATTGCACATTGTAACAAGTGTAGATACAGGTGTAGATTCTTACATATCGTTAGAGGGAGGGACACTGTGCTAGGTCGCAAAATCCCCAAGAACTAGAGCATTGGAGGGCATTATGTTTCCTCCTGACACAAAGGGTCAATCACTATTATATGAAATTATGTGGGACACGTATATATACAAGAGGGTAGCTATTATATCGAGCATTTGGCTAGTGCTGTTCCTGCTCGGCATCTTGCAGGAATCTCCACTTCGCGCCGCTAATGTTATAGCCACGTGGTATTCTATGACTCGTCAGCGAATGTCCCTCGGCAGGGTGGCCCCCAAGCCAACCCAACCCAAGCCTGCCAGGGAAAACCCCCCTCGTCCTTCCGCCCCTACTCTTTTCCAGTCAAGTCTTCTATCTAGCCTTTAGTTGGGAACATGGATTACTATTTGCGAAAATGGCGCAACGTAGGTCGTCGTTTTAGCAACCACGAGCGCACTACGTTTCGACGACCGTGGTTACCGGCTTGGAGTTTTCTCGCGCACCACGCCACGCCCGTGTTTCGTTTCCACCAGCCCCATTTCCCCTAATCGTCACCTCCGCCCTCGGATCGCTCTGATCACTCGTACAGGAAAATATCTACTGCGCACGCATAATTGCTGCGCCGCCTATTTTCCGGGCCGCGCCTAAGCCTTCTAAGCGATTAAAGCCCTGATCTTTCCCATCCCCATAATGCCCCTATCTGCCGTAGCCCCTTGGCATGGCCCTTAGTCCTGAGGCGCCTCATAAATTACCCTTCAATGCCTTTATAAGCCATTGCCCCATTCCCCTTTTAAGCAATTTCTGTCATTCCCCTCGGTCATGGACCTCGGGATTCTCCTCGCGTTCGCCGTGATGGTCGCGTCCATGATTCTCGTCTGCGCCTACCGCTTGTTCCGCGTAGTCTGGGCCGAGGAGCAGGCGGATCGAGGGCGGGAGCGCGAGCGCGCATTGCGCGAGAGAGCTGCGCGCAGTCGGCTGGCGGAGGCGCTGGATCCGAAGCTGCTGGGGGCGTTCAGCGACCTGGTGACGTACGCGGATGTGAAGTTAGAGCGCGACGCGGATGCGCGTGGAAGCGCGCCGAGCTCTCCCAGCGCTCTTACGGGCTTGTTGACTCTGGCAGATGTGACTGTAGCGGGGGGGAGGCTACCAGGGGATGATGAGTCATGCGTGGGTGGCGGAGGTTCTTTACAAGAGGATGGGACGACTGTTGTGGTGGATATTCGAGGGGAGGGCACTGGCTCAGGCGGCAGTGAGTGCAGCAACAGAAACGATGAGTGTCACGCAGATTGTGAATTACCATCGGCAAAAAAGAAGTGTAAATCACGAGGTGTGGGTGAGGTTGAGGGAGATGGTGAGGGAGGGGGTGAGGGTGAAGGTGAGGGTGAGACTGAGGGTGAGGCCATTGAGCAGGCGCCAGGTCGCCCAGCCACGAAGGGCGCCGTGGCTGGAAATTGTGATCAGAAGAACTGGGGGATTGAGGATGGGTCGAGTGCGGTGCAAGTAAAGGAAGCGGCAGCTGCTGAAGGCACAGAGTCACAGGAGGAGTCAGCGGCTGGTGCTGACAGCAGGGCCTTGCCATCCTCATATGCTCCTTCTATAGGCCTCTCTCCGTCGGGTGGTAAGAGTCAGGGCCCGTTACCGGCTGAAGTGCTTGAATTACAGCCTGAATTTGCAGCAGTGGCTGGTAGTGGCGGCACGGGTGGTGCAAGTGAGGTGGCGATTCCTGTGATTGCTGTGACAGCAACTGAGTGCTCCGTGTGTCTGGTGGAGTTTGAGGATGATGCCATGCTGCGACGCATGCACTGCTGCCGACATCTGTTTCACCAGGTGAGCATGGGAGAGTGCTGGGGCATGGAGGGCTGTTGGGGCATGCAGCAGTGAATCGTGGATTGATCTGGACCATTAGTGCCATGACACATGCGCATTAAATAATCATGCATACGTCTGCACTTTGCAAGGTGCATTTGCATTTATTACAAGATGCTCGTTGTGCTCTCATGTGTTCATGTTATCATGCAGGATTGCTTGGAGAAGTGGCTTGAGTACCGTCTGAGCTGCCCCATCTGCCGTGTAAAGGTGAAACGACTATTAACATCATAACTCAAATATTTTACGTACGGTACTGCAAACATCTGAGGCGAACGAACCAACAGCAGATGCTTCACTGGTTTTCTGGGCAAGGTGGATGGTAGGTAAGTGTTGTGTTGTAGCAGTGGCATCTACAGTGGCTTGAGCAATGCATATCCCTCTGATCAAGACCAGGTTCCAGTCCCAATCGGCCTCCCTGTTGACAAACTACAAGATCAATCGAGGGAACCACCTAAAAATCACGCCTTTGCTTCGTGACGTGTGTCACTAGCTGATAGTTGTCCATATAAACGAAAGCAATAATTTGCATTGCATATACTTTAGCAAGATACAAGAACAACACTTATTTTCGCCCAATACGGACGAAGGGGGTTGTGTATCACCAAGACAGAGCCCCCACAGGATCTCTGTCCATCTTTGTCTGCTCCTCAAACCCACCTCCAGTGAAGTCGCTTTCCCCAGCAGTCAATCAAACCATGCACAATGAAGGATAATTACTAGGAACGTGAGATGATCGACGAAGGTCGTCGTGATGCGAATGGATGTCAGCCGATGCCAGTTGTCGCCTCTGTGTCTCTTCCTCAAATCGCTGGTCTGAAATTGATGCCTACGGCGAAGGAGTAACACCGGGAATGTAGCCGCTGGTGCCGCCGTAATCGCAGACGCCGAGAGTGCAGGTGCCCGGGCAGCGTTGGTAGCAGCCGCCGCAGTGCTCGAGGCTCGAGTCCAGGTTGGTGCACTTGCCGTCGCAGCACGACGTCGATATGTCGCAGAACGATCCGCACGCGCCGCAGTTATTCAAGTCGTTCTTCGTATCCACGCACACGCTGCCATGACGCGGATTCAAATTAGATTACAGAATGAAGGATCATTGCAGCAGGAAGACCATGGGATGAAACATTGCAAATGGTGGGTCGAGGAACGAGAGCGACGAGATATGGACGAGTCGCAATGAACAAGAAACAGAGAGTGCGCAAGGAGGAGCTGCTTTGCAGGAAGAGAATCCGTCACAAGAGAAAGTGGATGGTTCGCAGGGAGGTGACGAGGAGCGCTTACGATCCGCAAGCGGTGAGGTTCATGGAGCTACAGGTGACGAGCACTTGCAGCTTTCTCCACTTGACGCGATGCCCGCCTCCGCTGCCGCTCCCCGCACTGCCACCGTGCCGTAGCCGGCCGGAGCGAACGGAGTATTTCTGCACCCAACCCAGTACAGATCACGACAAGCAGAGCGACCGTTCAGTTCAGAGACGAGTGCAGCAAGGCTGTGAAAGCCGAATGAGAGGAAATCACAGGAGATGCAGTTGCGCGACCCAGGAAATCAGTCAGGTGCGATTTATCCCGCATGGATGAAGCCATCGTACGGCTTGATGCGAAACAGTGCATTCCAATAAAATGCATGCATTCCGCGGCATACGAGTCTAGCATACTGCGAAAGAAAGGAGGAGAGTGGCAGGATTACGTTTCCCAACCAAACTCAGAGGGAGGCACCTCGAAGTCGCTGCTGGAAGGCATGCCCGCAGCAGGCAGGGTATTCGCTACCACGAAGAGAACGACCGTCGCAACAAAAAACACGTTGAGATTCATCCTGCTCTGCTGACTAGACATTTTATAGCCACTCGAGTCAGAATAGATACTAGTTGTCGTGGTATATGAGTCGGAAGCCAGGGAACCTGATCAAGGAAGTTAGCTACTATGAGTTCTTAATCACCTCAGATGCCACCTCGGGTGATGAGAAATGAATGGGACGGAGGTCTAAAAGTGTCGAAGAAACGAGCAGCACCGCGAGCGCGCGTTGGGAGCAGCCTAGTGGAAAGGTAGGAATATGAACAGAGCTACTAGTAGGAGATGCAAAGGTCACATGTGGGACACTCGAAACTGCGGGCCGCATTCGCAAATGCCTCGCTGCTCAACATTCACTGGGGGACAATTTGGAAGCGCTCCAGTCGCCGCGCGCGTGCCTGTGGGTTCCACTCGAGCGCCCCATTCGATCAGTGTGGCCATTTCGCTGGCGCCATGCGGCCTCTACACTACGCGACTCCGAGTGTGAGGGAGGGACTTCATGGGGGGCCTGAGGCACGTGGCGATTAGTTACCGGTACGGCGGTAGAAATCTCCCGTTTCAGCGATGCAATGCGAGATTTCGCCAAAAAGTAATGGTTGGAAAATGTAACAAGGCGTTCACACTCCTTTTGATCCAAGTTGGGCATACGATTTACACATGACAGGACTGGAACTTCACCATTAGACGGACCCTTTTATCCTAACCTAGCGAATGATAAAGCTATCAATTTTGGAGAACTATATATCTATACTATAGAGGAAATTGCAATTATCGACCCATTTTCCTTTTCATCTTGGACTCGTTTCATCAATACCAGTAACGTTATATATACAAAACAATAGCATAATATATTCTAAGTAGAGCATGACTCTAGAGCGACTGGTGCGTGCCTTGTTTCAGTGGTAGGTGAGTCTTGTTGACCCTCCACTAAAGCGTTATCAAGTGCGAGCTACTCTTTAGAGACAGTCTAGGATGAAATCCACGCTTCGCGTCGTCCCAATGTCGAACAAGCCGTACCTTGCCCTACGGTCGAAGCACTTCCACGTCACGTCCGCGGCATCGTAACGATGCCAGCTCACTATTCCACATGACAGTCGCGGCAATGCCGGGTCGCTTCGTCCCATCGCCTGCGCTTCCCCCAGCCTCCCCCGGTACGAGATATTCCCTCGCTTCTCCCGGCAACTTCCACTCCGACGAGCCCAGCTCGGCGCGCAATGAGCGAGGACACCTCTCCCTCACAGACTGCTCGCTTCCCGAGGCCCTTCGAGGCGCTCAACGAACCACCAGTGGCCACGTGTCATCGGATAAAACGAATGAGGCTGCGCAATCGTCGCCGCCTCTCGAGAAGTCAAGGGGAAGCGCGGAGGCGGAAGGCGGATCAGCCAAGGTGGAACAGATGGCGGAGGCAGCGGAAAAGGAGCCGCAGAAGGGGGAGGATGGGGGGGAGGAGCAGAGCAGTGGTGAGCGCAAGGGGCCAGGCGAAGGGCAGAAGGAGGGGGAGGTATCGAAGAAAGCGGGGGAAGAGGGGAGTGGTGGCGGGAAGGGGGGGAGCGGGGAGGGCGAGTGGTGCGAGGCGCTGGGCGGGGAGGTTTGGCTGGTGGCGTGCAAGCGACCGCAGCTGCTGGCGCGCAGTGAGAGGGGGCGGGGCGCCGTGTGCGTGAACATCGATGATGAGCTGGTGGGTGGGGAATAGCGCTGTGCCACGTGGCGCTGTGCGGCATGGGGCGTGGGGGGAGGGTGGTGGCTGGTGAATGATTTGGCAGTGGAGTGGCGCGGTGCTGATGGTGAAGAGAGGGGTATGGGCAGTTCGCTGTTTCCTGACAAATGTCCCAAGTCAACTCCTCCATACCATGGACGGCCCTCCCCTGCCGTCTCCCATACCCCGGGCCCCCCTATCACCCCATCACCTCCTCTCTCTCTCCCCCACACCCCCACGCGCTCACCCATCCCCCCCACCAGGTGTACGAGCCGTACTGCATGGACTTCGGCCCTCTCAGCGTGGCGTGCATCCACCGCTACTGTGACACCATGGACCGAGCGCTGCAGGTGACAGGGGGTGCTGTGTGCTGTGTGCGGTCAGTGATAGGTGCCCTGCACCTGGGTGATGCGCCTGCTGCTATGCATGCACCTGGGTGCCCTGCACCTGCCCTCTCAGCCTGGCGTGCATCCACCGCTACTGTGACACCATGGACCGAGCCCTGCAGGTGTGTGCTGCCAGTGTGCTGCCAGTGTGCTGTCAGTGTGCTGCCAGTGTGCTGTCAGTGTGCTGCCAGTGTGCTGTCAGTGTGCTGCCAGTGTGCTGTCAGTGTGCTGTCAGTGTGCTGTCAGTGTGCTGCCAGTCAGTTATGAGTGACTTTTGAGTCGACTCAAGGGTCAAGCTGCTCAGTCTGGTATGCGTCCATCGCTACTGCGACACCATGAACCGCGCCCTGCAGGTGATAGTGGGTGGGTCCTGACACGTGGACGCAATCTCACCCTGCAGGTGAGTGCTGTGTGCTGGTTGCGGTCAATGAGTGATAGGTGCCCTGCAGCTGGGTTGTGTGTTGTGTCATTCATTGCATGGCATACCAGGTCATCAAACCCCTTGCTTTTCTGTACCACCGATTCATGCCATGCCACCAATGCCATCCCTTGCTGTCCCCTGCCCTCTGACCATGTGTGCTGGACTGCGTTGAGTTGAGCAGGAGGGGCGGGGGCTGTCAAGGAAGGTGGTGCATGTGTGCAGCAGCGCGCTCCACAAGAAGGCAAACGCCGCTCTGCTCGTCAGTGCCCCCTCCCTCTCCTCCTCCCTGCGCTGGCCCCTCGTCCCCCTCTGCTCCTCCCTGCTCCCCCTTCCGCCCCCGCTTCTCGCCACCTGTGCACTGCATTCACCCTTTGCACCGCATGGAACGCCAGTGCTCTGCGTATGTGCTTTGCTGTGCCTGCATGCCACTGCCCTTGCCCCCTACTTCACCCATAACGCCCTCCTTTTTCAACCCTTTCTCACCACTCCTTCCTTTCCCCCACCCCGTCTATTCCCCCTCCCTTCCCTCCCCCGTCCTCCTCTCTCCTCCACCCGCATCCCCAGCTAGCAGCGTATCTCATTCTGCGCCATGCCATGCCGGCCGATGCCGCCCACGCGGTGCTGCGCCCCTTGGAGCCGCTGCCGCCCTTCAGAGACGCGTCCAACGGCGCGTGCACCTTCCACATCACTGCACTCGACTGCTGCCAGGTGTGTATGTGGCAAGGAGTGGCGAGCAAGGAGTGTGTGTGAGTGGGGTGTGCGTGTGGGGCCACGTGTGTGTGTCCATCCTCATCCCCTCATCTCCCCATCCCCTTATCGGCCCATTCCCCCATGCTGCAGGCGCTAGAGCGGGCACAGGAGCGGGCCCTTATTGCGGGGTTCAGGGTGGGCGAGTACGAGCGGCTGGAGCAGGCCGACCTCACGTGGATGCTGCCTCATACCCCATCCCGCATCCGCCCTTTCCCCATCCGCCCATCCCCCACCCCCGCCCATGCTAGGCTCTAGAGCGAGCGCAGAAGGGGGGACTGATAACGGGGTTCAGGGTGGGCGAGTACGAGCGCTTGGAGCAGGCGGACCTCACGTGGATGCTGCCGGGGCGGCTGCTCGCCTTCAGCACGCCCGCTGACGACCCTGCTAGCGTCATGGTGGGTGGTGCCACAGGTGGCATGAGGGCTTGGGGGTAATAGCAAGGCAAGCAGACCTCACGCGGATGCTGCCTGCCGGGGCGGCTGCTCGCCTTCAGCACCACTCCTCCCTGCCACCACTCTTCGCTGCCCAGTCGTTTTCACAACTCCAATGCTCGCTGTTGCTCCTCCACGTCGCATCCCTCCACGCCACTAACCTGCCATTGCCTCGCGCTGCCTCTTCTTCCACTCCCCTACTGCATGTGACCGCCTGCATCCGCCTGTGTAAGTCAGGAGGGCTACCTCACGCCAGAGGACTATGTGCAGTACTTCCGGCAGGTGAGCTGCCCAGGGGGGTTGCGCTTCAGTTACGTGTCATCATTGTGCGTGCTTCCCTGTGGGCCCTTGCTAGCAAGGCAATGTAAGAACCAGAGCCAGAACTGTCTTGGCTCGAGTACACAAGCTCTGCCTCCGCTGCTTTCATGTCCTCTAAGTACATGACCAGACAACTGTGTGCATGTGTGTGTGTGTGTGTCCATGTGTCCATGAACGCATGAACGCATGTGCACAGGCGGGCATAGCGGCCATAATCCGGCTCAACAGGCGCGTGTACGATAAGAGGCGATTCACCCGCCATGGCTTTGCCTTCTACGACCTCTACTTCCCCGATGGCGGGTCAGTCGTTGCTGGTGGCTGGGGTGGAGTCGGGTGGGGTGGAGTCGGTTGGGGTGGAGTCGGTTGGGGTGGAGTGGGGTGAGGCGGGATGGTTTGGATGGTATGCGGCGATTCACCCGCCATGGCTTTACCTTCTACGACCTTAACTTCCCTGATGGCGGGTCAGTGCAGGCTGCTGGCTGGGGTGGGTCGAGTGGTATGTATGTGGTGTGGTGGGTGGCAGCATTTGAACCACATGCCTTTCGGGCACCTCAAACTTCTGGTCATCCCATCGCTGCAATCGTTCCCATACCCTCTCCTTCCCTTCTCTCCGTGCCTCTCCTTCCCTTCTCTCCGTGCCTCTCCTTCCCTTCTCTCCGTGCCTCTCCTTCCCTTCTCTCCGTGCCTCTCCTTCCCTTCTCTCCGTGCCTCTCCTTCCCTTCTCTCCGTGCCTCTCCTTCCCTTCTCTCCGTGCCTCTCCTTCCCTTCTCTCCGTGCCTCTCCTTCCCTTCTCTCCGTGCCTCTCCTTCCCTTCTCTCCGTGCCTCTCCTTCCCTTCTCTCCGTGCCTCTCCTTCCCTTCTCTCCGTGCCTCTCCTTCCCTTCTCTCCGTGCCTCTCCTTCCCTTCTCTCCGTGCCTCTCCTTCCCTTCTCTCCGTGCCTCTCCTTCCCTTCTCTCCGTGCCTCTCCTTCCCTTCTCTCCGTGCCTCTCCTTCCCTTCTCTCCGTGCCTCTCCTTCCCTTCTCTCCGTGCCTCTCCTTCCCTTCTCTCCGTGCCTCTCCTTCCCTTCTCTCCGTGCCTCTCCTTCCCTTCTCTCCGTGCCTCTCCTCCTCGCCCCATCAGAGCCCCCTCGGGCGGCATAGTGGAGCGCTTTTCCGCCGTTGTGATGGAGGGCATTGGGTTTTGAGCAGCCTCAAACCGCCCATTGTTCCGTCGGTGCAATCTTTCCCCATGTCCCTTCGCTCTGTTCGTTCGTTCCCTCCACACCCCATCAGAGCCCCCTCAGACGGCATAGAGGAGCGCTTCTTCGCCGTGGTGGAGGGCAGCAACGGCCTTGGAGTCACTTCAAACCTCCACGCGTCCCATCACTGCGCTGCAATCGTTCCCTCAACCCCCTCCTTCCCTCCCCTCCTCACCTCATCAGAGCCCCCTCGGACGGCATAGTGGAGCGCTTCTTTGCCGTGGTGGAGGGCAGCAACGGGCCCGTCGCCATCCACTGCAAGGTGCTGCTCTCTCTATCACCACCCTGTCTGCAAGGTGCTGCTCTCTCTATCACCACCCTGTCTGCAAGGTGCTGCTCTCTCTATCACCACCCTGTCTGCAAGGTGCTGCTCTCTCTATCACCACCCTGCTCTGCAAGGTGCTGCTCTCTCTATCACCACCCTGCTCTGCAAGGTGCTGCTCTCTCTATCACCACCCCGCTCTGCAAGGTGATGTATGTCCGCTCTCTTACCCGCTCTCCCCTGCATTGCTGGCCTTGCTTCAGCAGGCACGCTGATCCGCTCCACTGTGCCTTGCACGGCACCCCTCTGCCGTGCGTGGCCATTCCCAGTTCGCTGCACTGAACTGCTCCACACTCGCGCTCGCACTCACTCCATCTCTCCCTTCTTCCGATCCCCTCCCCACTTCCCCCTCCCCTCTCCCCTCTCCCCGATCTCCTCCCCCTTTCTCCGTCCCCTCTACATATATTCTGCTCCCGCAGGCGGGTCTGGGGCGAACGGGGGTGCTGGTGGGGTGCTACCTCATGAAGCACTGCGGCATGACGGCTAGGGAGGTGAGGATTGGTGGGGAGGTGAGGGCGCGTGTGGAGGGTGGATGGGGGTAGTGTGGATGAGTGAGGGTGGGTGCACTGTGAAAGGAGGTATTTGGGGGGTTCTGGTAGGGTGCTACCTCATGACGCACTGCGGCATGACGGCCAGGCAGGTGAGGCTGATGACGGGTGCAGGGTGGGAGAGCAGAGGTGGGAGAGCAGAGGTGGGAGAGCAGAGGTGGGAGAGCAGAGGTGGGAGAGCAGTGGGGATCTCATCAACAACATGCCATGCCTCTCGTGCTCGTGACTTCCCCTCGCACCCACACCCTTGCATCCTCATACCCTCCCAACCGCATGCCCTCCTCTCCCCCTCACCTCATGGCACGCCCCACCAGGCCATAGCATACACGCGGCTGGTGCGCCCGGGGTCGGTGATCGGGCAGCAGCAGCACTTCCTGGCGCTCATGCACCCGCGCATGGCACGCGCTGTAAGTTTTTGACTTGTCTGCATGCGATGTGAATTCAGCATGGTGCGAGCGGTGATATATATCAAATTGACTTCATGTGCGCATTGTGCCCCCCTCACCAGTGTCATTGCTATGCCCGCATTGCAATCTCATGGCCGCTTTATGTTTTCTTTAGCTTGCGAAGCCATGTTTGCATTTCGGCCACTCTCATCGCCTTAGTCTCGCTCTGCCACCCACCCATACGCCCCTGCCACCCATGCGTGCCTCTCTATCCAATGCTCTCTCTGCTCTATCGTCCTCTCAGGGAGAGGAGTTTCGGCGCAAGACCCGAGCGCTCTCACCCTTCTCACCTCGCACCACCACCACCACCACCACCAGCACTGCACCCGGCAACCTGCCCCCTGTGCTGCCCCGCGCTCACGCTTCCAGCCTCGCCGTGCCATCGCGCACGGGGCGCAAGGTGTATGCGCGCACGGACGAGCAGGCAGCAGCAGCAGTGGCCGACCTGCAGTTTGCCCGCCACTCGCGCTCGCTCGCCCGCGCCGGCTCCGTGCCTGTGCGGCCAGGCTCGGCCGGACCGGCACGGTCAGGCTCGGCCGGGCCAGTGCGGTCAGGCTCGTCAGTGTCGCTGCGGTTGTCCCTGGGGAGGAGTGTGAGCCGGCTAGGCAGCAGCAGCGGTGGCGCCGAGAGCAGCATGAGTGGCGGGGGTGGGGGCGGGGGAGAGGGCATTGGACCCAAGCGGAGGAGGCAGCGGGAGGGAGGGGGGAGGGAGAGGCGCGCAGCTAGTGCCGCCACCACACCACGTGCTTGTGGGGATGGTGATGGGGCGGAAGGGGCAGAGGAGGGAGGGGGAAGCGGGGAGGAGGGTGAGAGAGGAGGGGGGGGAGGAGAGGAAGGGGGTGGGGTGGGAGTGCGGGAGAGCGGCGCGTGGGTGAGGCTGAGAAGGCTGGGGGGGAGCATGCGCATGCCATTTGACTCCCTCGCCCTCTCCCTCTCCTCCTCCCCTGCCGTGCGTCGCCCCATCAGCAAATCAGCTTCCATGTCCCCATACACACCCATGCCCCCCATCACCCCCACGACTCCCCATGTCCCTATGCCTGTATCCCATGCATCTTCTGCCCTGCACCCTGGCATGGCGTCCCCCGAGCCTCGCCATGTGAGGGCTGCCAGGCGCCTCAGGCTGAGGGGGGTGTGGGGGGCTGCTGATGGGATGCGGATTGGGGGCGAAGTGGGGAAGGAAGCAGGGGAGGGTGGTGGTGATGCGGGGGAGGTGCGTGTGGGGGAGGGCGGTTGTGGTGTGACGGATGGAGAGGGGGGAGTGCGGTGTGGTGATGGGGAGTGTAGTGCGGTGGAGGGCGATGCTTCTGCACGGGAAGCAGAACGTGCAGGTGAGGAGGTCTCCAGCGCAGCAGATGTAATGAGAGAGAGGGATAGGGAGTCAGTAGGGGTGTCAGCGAGCGTGGGGGCATCAGTGCGGGCAGCCGAAGATGCTAGCGCGGTTGCAATGAGGTTGGACAGTGCATCACCCGTGGTAGCACAGGTGGCCGCACTGGCTGCACCAATCGAAACAGTGGCATCAGATCTTGAAGGGCCGGTGGCAGTAGCAGCAGTGGCACCAGATTCTGAAAGGCCGAAAGCAGCAGAAGCTGCAGCAGCAGGGGGGATGGGGGCGAGCAGAAAGTCGCACTCACGGGCGGCCTCATGGCTGGGCTTGTCCTTTTGCGGCCTGCTGCCGTGCCAGCCCGCACGACCACCGCCATCACCCTCATCATCACTCTCACTCTCACCACCCACATCGCCAGGACCATCCCTGCCTCCCACCTCAGTTGCTGCTGCAGGGCCCACAGCCACACGTACAGCCTCAGTGAGCCCGCATGGCTCTCCCCTCCCCACCACAGCAGCCCCTCTTCGAGCTTGCCCTCCCTGCTCCACAGCAGGTGCAGCAGACGTGAGGGGGCCAGCAGAGGGAGCGGCAGAAGACCCCGTGGTAGAGGCAGGAGGTGCAGAGGTATCAGAAGGGTTGTCTCCAGGAGACAGGGAGGGACACAGTGGCACAGCGACAGGTCAGTACACGCCAGCAGATGCCGTCCCAACGCCTGGGGTTGCAGGGACACACGAGTATACACCTGCCGATGCGGACCTAGCTCCTAGGTTTGGGCGCACACAGGCGGCTGGCGTGCAGGGTGCAGGGGGGGAGCAAGCAGGGGGGCCCAGCAGCACAGTGGTGAGAGTGATCAATGCAGGGGGGCAGCCCAGGAAGGTGGTGGTGCCGGCAGGGCAGGAGGGTAGAGGAAGGGGAGTGAATGTAGAATCAGGGTTGAGAGGAGTGGGCGGGCATGCGCAGGCGGTTTCCGTGGCTAAGTTTGGTGCGGTGCAGGGCGGTCGGTTTAGGCTTGGTGTGAGAAGATAGCATGCCAAGCTAGCTGTACATTCTCGCTGCTGCCCACCCTATTGCTTGTCCAATTCCTTGTTGGCTTATTGTGAGTTGGCTTCTCTTTGCCCCAGTGCACGTGCATAGGAGGTACCGGTAGTTGTTACCGGTGGTATCAACTGCTGCCCCAGCCCACTCATCACATGCTTCCCCAACCAAAAAAATCCACCAGCGAAGCCGCACAGACCCGAGCAACCCACCAGCAGGTCTAGCTACCGAGTTCCACATATTTCAAAAGGATGTGTAAGGTTGGCTGAGTGCTGTAATTGCATCACTGTGGAGTGGAGCCTTACAGCAACTTGTCATAATGGTACATACGGTACAAATCCATTGTACATAATTTACCTATGGCACACACAATCACCACCATCAGTGGCCTTAAGGGCGACTACTTGACGCCCTGAGCGTCTTTCCTCGGCCGTAGGTCCCACGCCAGTCCGAGTAGCAGGTAATAGCAGACAGACACCCCTATGCGGTATCTCAGTAACCAATGGCAGCTACTGGCGACCAGCTCGGTCCTAACGGTGCCCCGCCAGCATCCCCGGCGCCTTCCAGCCGCGGCAGTCTCGAGCAACAGCTGCGCCACCGCCCGCTGCGCTCATCACTCGCGGAATCTTCTCTCGCCCAGCAGCCTGCGCCCCACCGCACTCGCGATCCCCGGACCTACATCCACCGCCGCTTCCGCATCCTCCCCCTCCCCCATCATCTCCGCCACCGCCCACGACCCGTCGCTCTCCTCTCTCCGCGCTCCTTCAACCGCCTTGAACCGCGAGAACGCGCAATCCGCGGCGACGAGGCTGGACGACCGGTAACTCTCGACGGAGCCGTCAAGATAGCCGTCGCCGTTATCTCCTGCCACCTCCCAAGCCTGCGCGTCGCGGCTCCATTGCAGGCTTACCGCGAAGGATCGCTCCTTCTGGGAACTCCGGAACGTTTGCCCCATCACGCCGTGCGGGTCGGTCAACCCTCCCCCAGATAACACCTCCACCGAGAAATGCACAAACGCGTCGGCTGGTGATTGCCGGTCGACCGCCTCTGGCCTAATATGGACAAGGAAGTCCGCCCCTTGCCGGCCACCGGACTGTATTCTGAGAGTCTCGGTTTCCACGCCGTTTGATTCGGTGACCCCCACGTGGTGCACTCTCAGCGCGCCGTCGTCGCTCTCTAGGATGTGCGACGGCGACAATCGCTGCGCGACGCCGTCTAACACTATCGACTGCAAGAAACCGTCGCCGAGCGACGCGTCTGCCCCCTGCCGCGCTCTGAGCTGCAGCGAGTGGCCGGCCACGAGCACGCCTATCGCCTTGACCCATGTGCGCTGCGTGGCGCCTGGAGTAATGTTAGCATCGCTGCCTGAACTGATCGGATCGTCGCCTAGACTACCCGAGTCGCCGGCCATTTTCATGTTGATGTGCAGCGAGGGGTCGGAGAGCAGGCAGTAGGCCTCGCCCGGCACGCCGGTGAATCGGAAATGAACGCCATCTGCGCCCTCGAAGTGCGGATCGCCGAAGAAGGACGCTATTGGCCGCTGCTCCGCTGCTGCTAGACCTAGTCTCGAGTTGGTGAGAGCTATGAGAACTATGAGAGCTACTACGCGATTGTGACAGGCTGAAGCCATGCGTGCGGACAATGAAAGGAAGAGGTGTGGTTGCAATGAAAGGAAAGAGTTGTGGTTGTGTGGAGATACAAGCTAAGCTAAGATCAGATCCCTAGTGTCTCTGCGGTCTCATTGTGATAAACTGAACTGAAGGAACAAAATTAATGGTTTTGTCGGCAAAGGGGAAGGGGATGGAGTGGGATGAGATGAGGTGGGATGCGTTGCGAGGGGATGGCAATACAGTTTACTATTTTGTGTTGTGGTGAAGGATGCACCTGGCAAGGATGCGGAGGGTGTGTGTGCGGCCAGGGTGGAAGAACGAGGAAGGCGAAAAAATATAGCCAATAGCGCAGGTAGGGCGGACGTTTCAGATGGTTGGTGGTGGGCGGGCGCTAGAACTATTCCGCCAAGCGCGCCAACCAGATGGCCCCACCCTGGGTCTTCTGTTCTCTGGCGAATGACCAAATCATACCTGCGTTCTGCGCAAAGAACAACTTTCAAATCGAGGCCGTCAGGGGTCCCTCGCAAATTAACACGTGACCGTCGATTGCCGCGAGTTACAGTCAACCCTTATACGAACAGCACTCCCTGAATTTGTGTGACTGCACCTGCGACGCGGGTGACATAGGCGTGCAACAACTGTATGTGGAGCATCGTGGACACCATGGATCCTGCTGTCGCTGCGAAAGTCAGTCGCGATGGATTACAGCCGAGGTAGGGTAACATCTCGATTGTGGGGTTTCGATTCTGTGTTAGGTGATTACTGTGTGGGCGTAAATATTGGCAGCTGTTATGTACCTATACACATGTGTGTGCGTATGGAGAAGGCGTGGTGGTGACAGGGGTCGCAGTACCCCAACCAATGACCATGCCGAACCACAAATACTGTGCTGATGACGTGTCCACTGCGCAATCTGACACTCGCAATCGGACGCCGGTGAAAGCGAGAACAGATTCTTCACCCACTGTGATAGCAACACGTGGCCAACCTTGTCTTCCTTTCTGAGAGCGACACGGCACCGAGGGATATGTGATCATCAATCAATTGAAGCCAAGCCAAGCCAAACTTGGAACAGGACTGCCACAAGAAGCTCATTTCCCGTCACACCACTTAGTCATCAGTATCCCAGAGGAGTTTCTCCACAGCAAAGCAGAAACTCAGCAGCCACTTCACAGATTCCGCTCACTGACCATCCTCATGGCTGCCATAACCTCGTTCGGAAATCTGTCTGTGAAGCTGCAAAGCAAAGCCTTCATTGGTGAGATGCTGATCACCTCATTCACCACTGTACCGTAAAAGCGAGCAGCCGTCTAAAGTGAAGCTTTCCTTTCCGTTTGCAGGCCAGAGGCTTAGAAGTACTGCATTTCCGACTTGTCAGGTAGGCGAACTTCCGCCGCATTCTGAACACTGCGCCATCCGATGGTCCCGCGGCTCTAACCTTGTCACGTCGATGCCTCTGTTAGGTCTCGCATGGCCGGCCAGCGTCGTTGGCGGTGAGAGCTGAGGCAGCGGACGGCGAGCGGAAGAAGACGGGCGCCGAGCTGCGAGAGGAGTTCTTTTTGGCGGCCGCCACTGGCAAGGAGAGAGGGTGAGTCGAAGGAATCGCAACGCAGAATGAAAAGCAATTGTATGGACGAAGCAGAGTATGAAAGCAATAGCAGGAAAACATTGAGACGTGAGCCTTTTATACCTTGCCCTTTTAGACTAGTGCTCGAATCTCTTGATCTTCCCTCTTCTTACATCACATTGTCATTTTGACGTGGTGTTAACCCCTGTCTCCTCGGTCCTCTCATCGATGCTCTCTTAAATCCCCCTAGTCTGCCCGAGGGCGCGTTTCTGAACGACAATGTGGTGGACGGGCCCATGGTGGACATCACGTGGGAGCCGTACGGCGACACCTGCAGCGCGCTGGTGAGTGCTTACAACGCCACCTATTTTTCGTTTCGTGGGTGCGTGGCTCGCACAGTGGGAATTGGGACGAGAATGTCGAAGTTTGTAGGAAGACTTCAGCTCTGGAAATCAAAGCATTGGTTGAAAATAAAAGTGATTCACTTTGGTCCATTCACAAAGTGAAGGTCATCTTTCATCGTTTAGCTGATATTATCTGCTCAAAATGTGTAGCAGTAGGATTATTTGAATCTGAAATGCTGCATAATCCGGACGTCTTCTCCCCACCAGTTTCCTTACTCCCTCTCGATATTCTCAGACACAGCTTTCTTTCTTTCAATACCCTATTCTCGCTCACCCGTTCAATAATGTCAGGAGGGTTCCAGTCTGCTAAAGGCTGCTGTCGACGCGGGTGCCTTGACGATTGACAACCGCTTCTGCCTCACAGGGCAATGTGATGTTTGCATCGTTGAGCTTGACGGCGAGGTGATGAGGTCATGCATGAAGCCAGTTCCGACGTGAGTCAGACTGTTGGAAGCAGGGCTTCAACAAGGGGACCAGAATTATGGATTACAACTTTGACGTCATGTCTATGTGCACGCACACACATGTGGTCCGTGCAAGTACACTTCTCTGCCTGTGCATTTGACTCTTCCTTCTCGTCCAATTGCATTTGTTTTGTGTGCGTGGCATGTGTAAATGCAGGGGGCAAAAGAGTATAACATGCCTCGTCCTTGATACTGATGACGCCTGGTGAGTTAAATTGGTGTTTTCTGGTTTATTGTCTATTGGCTGGCTAGAAATCTGACTCCCTACTTTCATGTGCAGGGACGAAATGATGGTTTGAGGATCTTGATGTAACTTATAAGCGTCAACCCACACCTCTTCACGACTAGTGGATTTCATTGTTGTATCGAGGACATTTCTGCACTCCACCCAAAACTTGGTGGCTGCGCAAGATTTTTCGTAGACGAACTCAACGATCCAGTGATTCTGAACCACAACTTCCATCAATGTCGATGGTGGTGTGGCTTACGCTTAGTGGCTATGGTTTTCGCCGAATCGAATGCTTACATCATTATAACCCCAGAACACGTGTTCAGATTCAGACGAGCTGTTCGTGGATGGAATAAAATAAGTTGCTTGGATGAGTTGACTAAACATGAAATTGCACTGTAACCTTATTCATGTGCTTCATTGGACCCGAGTTCTTCTCCATCTGTCCTTTTGCATACCACAAAGCGTATTGGTTCCCCAAGCAAAACGTATTCGTCCAATCATATCTTCCGCAGGTATCAAGGAGCTGCCACGTAGCCCTTGATTCTGCCCTCCCGCTCTGGGATTCCCAGATTGTATCTCCCTCCTCCCCCTTCATCGCATCTGCCCCCTCCAACCTCACCAGCTCGGCTGCCTGCACTTGACAAAAGCAGAGCATATATCACATACGCTGCATCTCATACACGCTGACATCTTCCACGACTCAAGAATTGGCTTTGCGCCCGTTTGACTTGAGGCTTTCCCTCTTGTCAACGCTCGCAGCCTCCCTCAAGCTCCCAGCTTCTTCGCTAGCAATGGCAGGCATTCCGTGCCAGGTGACGTCTGCGCTTGCGGGCGCGCGGCTCGCGTTTCGCTACGACGTTCGACCCGCTTCCGCCATTAGCAATCCTGTCTCGAGTCTCGTGCGAATTTCACCCTTTTGGGGCGAGGCGATTGGGGGTGTACACGCGAAATCAGGATGCGTAGGATCGAGAGAGCGATTCTTCCAACACGCGTCGACCCGTGAGTCGGGAGTTTGCGTTAGGGCGTTTGGCAAGGAGGGAGCGAGCGACATTGACGGCACCGTCGCTAGCGTATCGGACAACAGACGTCAGATCCGAGAAATTCTTGCCAGTTCCGCTTCACCTGACGCCGACGTGAGCGCGGGAATGGGCGTGGGAGGGTGCGACTTCCTGCAGTCAGGCTGCGAATCCGACTGTCCGATATGCGCATCCGCGGGTGCAGGAGGGCGCTCGAGCGATGTCGAGTCCCCGCCGTGCCTGATTGGCCTCACCACCGCCGCTCAATTCGCGCGCAAGGACGCCACGCTGCTTGCCAGGTGCCTCTTTCATTCCATTGCTGCGTTGTCTTCGTCGTTGACGCCACCAAGCGCTATCGGTTGCATTGAACACCATTGGCCTTTAGAAAGATTGCTATGCGACCTCGGTTCAGCTGAGCTATTATTCTTGGTTTAGTTCGGCAAGGGTAGACGGCTTGAGAACGAGTCTACAATCACACTTCCTGGGCTCCGTCTCTCTCCGTCCCCTCTCGCTTTCGCCGCAAAATCACGTCCAATCCGCTGCTGTGTCCGTGTGCACTGGTGCCCTGACAGGGGGTTCTGGTCGCTGGACTCGAGGGCGCGCGAGGACGTGGCGCTGCTGGGATCCAAGTTCCTCACGCTCGACGGTAGGTTTCCCTCGCCTGTAAGTTCCTCACGCTCGCCGGTAAGTTGGTCAGCTTGACGGTAAGCTCGTCACGTTCGACGGCACGTCCCGTATCCCAGTCTTTCTTCCTCATGCTCGCCCGCCGAATCGCGTTCCTCCCCGCGGTTCGCGTCCTGCAATTTCTTGCTCGCCATCCTCCCCTCGTCCCTTGCTCCCATCCCCTCCCACTGTCCGCCGGTCCGTGCCCGCCATGTGAGCAGCTCGGGCGCGCGAGGACGCGGGGGTGCTGGATGCGCGCGCACGGCTGCGAGTCAGGCGCCTGCGACACCTGGCGCTGGTACGACAAATGGCGGGAACAGGTGCGGGGGACGAGGTGCATCAGGTTCAGTGAGCACCGGGAGCTGTAGCAATTCAGCCTCTGCCACCCAATCTGTGCAAATTCCAGCCAGGCCTATGCGTGGGCTAAGGGCTGTGCGGGCGTGGGGTCAGGCTTTGTGTGCATGGGCTAACGAGCATGTGGGCGTGGTGCGTGGTGCGTGTGGCTGTGGGGCTGTGCGTGTGGGTGCAGGGGTTGGAGGAGAGTGCGCGCGAGGAGCTGAGTCGCCAGGCCGCGCAGCACTGGCGAGATGGCGCCCTCGCGGTGAGCAGTGAGCCATGCTTCAGACTCGTCGTTCGTGTTTCATGCTGGTTGCTTGGCAGTTGGTATCGTTGATGGAGAGACAATGTGCTGCTTCCCGACACGTTCATTGCATCCCTTCTTCCCCATGCCACACTGCCCTTACCTACAATGGACGACACACCACCCTGAACCCTCATGCCTTTTATGCCACTACCCCTTCTTCGGCATGGCATGGCATGGCATGGCATGGCAGGCGGATCTGCGTCTTGCTGACATGCGCATGAGGCGGCGAGGGCTAGAAGACGTCTTCCTGGCTCTGCAGGTACTCGCGTCCACTCCATCCATGCTCATGCATGCTAAGTGTCCCTCGCATGCGAATGCATCCGTCACAGCATCGTCCACACCTTCCCCCTCATGCCCCTTCGCCCCCTCCCATGCTGCTGCCTGGTTGGCCGTATCCCCTATGGCCACACGCAGGTGGTGAAGAGCCTTCACTCCGCTATAGTCACACTGCTTCGCCCCGACGTCCTCCCCTCTACTGCCCCTTCCACGCCTGCTTCCACACCCTCCAACACTCCTGCTAACACCACAAGAAGAAGTAGCACTCCTCTGCACCCATCGGCACCCCTTCAAGACAGTTCAGCTGCATCCATCCCATCCACCAGTCAAGCCTCCATGCCACCGTCCTCCTCACAACCGCTTCCTGTAATGGACTCTCAAAGTGAAGGTGCAGAAGGGAGTAGAGTGGAGGAGGATGGGGAGCAGAGGAGGTCTGTGAGCACGAATCCCCTTACGCCACGTCACCAGCAGCATCCACTATCCACACTGTCGTTCAAGACGCTTGCTGCACTTGACGTATGTGCCTTGACTCCAGTGGCACTGCTTCGCCCCGTTGCCCTCCCTCGTATGCTTTTTCTCCGTCCTCTGGCCTCTTCCATTGCATGCAACGGTTCCATCATGCCATCGCCCACACACTCACCATAGCCGTCGTGTATCTGCTGAATCCCCTCTCTGTGTGTACGCAGGAGCTCTACCGAGAGATTGGCCCGCACTCCCTCACACCAGTGGAGGGGGAGGAGGACGGGGAGGAGGAGGAGTGGGGAGTGCTGGGAGTGGGGGGCGACGACAGCACCACAGAGGAGGTCAGCACGCCTGCTGCGCTGCCCCTTCTTTGCTGAATCCATCCCGCACTGCTCTGCTGCCGCCCTCTCGCCCCATCCGCCTCCCCGTCCTTCTGCAGCACATGGCAGCAGCAACCATGCCTCTCAATCTATTGTGCCCCTCCTCTTTCCCGTCCATGCCCCTCTCTCCCTCCTCTATGATCTATCCCCCTTCCTCCTCTCCTCCCAGCTGGGCTTCCTGCTGGCAGCGCTGGTGGACATGGGCGAGGTGAGCAGCAGCTACGGCCTGGCTCTGCTGCACCGCTGCTGCGACTCCCCCCACGCGGCGCTGCGCCTCACGGCTGTTGACGCCCTCTCCAGCGCGCCCTCCCTCTCCGCCCTCGGGAATGCCGGCTGCGCTGTGCTGCAGGTCAGTGGCGCGGCCAGTGCTGCAGGTGAGGGTGAGGGGAGTGCTGCAGGTGAGGGTGAGGGGAGAGAGGCAGGTGAGGGGACGTTATGAGTGTCTGTTGGTGCTTTGCATGCGAGAGGGGTAGTGGTGCAGATGTGGCTGTATAGATGAATATGATGTAGTATTGTATGTTGCGCTTCGTTGTGTGTGATACTGACGATGTATGCTGTCACTCTTGCAATGTGTGTATTCCTTTTCCTATCTCAGACGCTGTCAAAAGATGCCGATCCGGAGGTGGCAGAAGCAGCAGCCATGGCGATTACACAGCTGCAGGAGAAATGGCAGCAGCAGCAGCAGGAGCAGCAACAGGAGGAGGAGGAAGCAGGCACTAGTGCGCCTGCTGCCCTGTCGTTGGAGCAGGCATTCAGTCGTGCCGCTGCCAAGTGGCAACACGCCGGCTCCGGTGGTGCCACTGATGACGAGCAAGCAGATGAGAGCACAGACGGCGGTGTGGATAGCAGTGCGGATGGTGACAGTGACGGCTGTCGATAGGGCCTTATGGTAAAGATAAGTCATCTGTGAGTCATCTGTAACGTCGGTACATGTGGAGCAAAATAGCACCGTGTGCTGAAAGAGAGTACACTGTACCTGCATGGCGTCTGTATATAATTGAACTTTGGTGCTCTTGCACCATGCTCATGACAGGCATTTTAAAGTACCGTACCTCACGATATTTTTGCAAGTGGATGGGATGGGATGACCAGTGCCGATTGGGATGCCTTGCACTGACTGAACACAACAGAGTGGGATCTGGGCCAGGTTTTAGAGTGGAAAAAGTGGTGAGCTGAGGTAGTATTGTGTGAGGCTAGTTAGTATTTTAGCACATACTGTATGAAGATTGAGATAATTATTCAAGCTTTTCTGCTCAACAGGGGCCAAGAAAAGATGCCACAGTAGGTATGTGAATAAAGATCGTAATTGAAATCATCACGCGATAACCCGCTAATGCATCCTCCATAAAGGACACCTCAAACTTGTGCACATTCTCTGCACCCACCTCATGCCATGTTCGCCTCGCCATCCTTCAGCAACCCTAAAAAACGCTTCATCACTTCCTTCAGACATTAGGTTAGTCTCGATACTGCTCTCTTCCATCGCTTAGTCCTAGTCCTTAGTCCGTTCGTCAGCCCTGTTCGATTTTTCTTGTTAACGCAAAGAGTATATTTGCGCTCTACTCGCGTCTGGCTCTGTTCTTTCCCTGCGCGTGAGGCACGGGCAGCGTGCAGCGGCGCAGTGGCGGAGCGAGCGACGGTGGTGCGCGGAGTGGGTTGGGGCGCGGGGAGGCATGGCGGACGACGAGGTGGTGGAGGTGCGCGGAGCGGAGGGCGATGAGCAGGGCGAGGTGAGGGACGGCGCAAGCGATTACGAGGACTACGGCGACGATGACGTGGATGATGACGTGGATGAGGAGGAGGACGAGGCGGAGGAGGAGGAGGTGGAGGAGGACACGCAAGGGGGGGTTGAGGAGGAGGAGGAAGTACAAGAGGCGGACACCCCGCGAGGCCGCGACAGCCAGTACAAGGCGAGTCGCTGCCTCCCGTAACCCCGCGCCGCGTCACACGCGCGTGATTTCGCTACTCGCTCTCGCTGCCTGCTGTTCCTTCTGACACCTCTTTCCCCTTTGCCGCCTCTGCTCTCTCCCTACCCCTGCCATAACGCTGACACCACCAACGGGCGCGCGAATGCCGCCACCGGCCTCAACCGATCCCGACCGTTGCAGGTGCTGTCGGAGGCGGACATAGTGCGGAAGCAGGCGCGGCTGGTGCGCGAGATCGTGAGCTTCCTCAACGTCTCCGAGTCCGCCGCCGCGCTGCTGCTGCGCTCCTTCAAGTGGAGCGTCAACCGCGTCACGTGAGTCATCCGCGTCACGTGAGTCAACCGCGTCGCGTGAGCCGCGCTCTCTCTCGCTGCCGCTCCCATCCGCCACCCCCGCTATCACCGCGCGCTTCGCCATCCATTTCGCGTCATCTCTCTGCGCCTCCGCGCACCGTGCCTCCGCGCGCGGTGCCACCATGCACCGTGCCTCCCCTGGTCTTCCTCACCGCTCTTTCCGCGTCCCCTCTCAACCCTTCTCCTATCTCTCCCCTGTATGTCTCCACCTTGTTCTTCCCGCCCCCCCCGCTCCCCCCCGCTTCCCCCGTTCCTTCCACCAGCGACGCGTGGTTTTCGGACGAGGAGGGGGTGCGCAAGCGCCTGGGGATCTTCGCGCCCGCCTCCCCCCGGGAAGCGTCATCCTCCGCGGCTGTCCCCGCTACAGTGCGCTGCGGTATCTGCTTCGACGACCACCCTCTTGAATCGACGGTCGTGATGGCGCTGTGCGGGCAGCACCGCTACTGCGTGCCCTGCTGGCAGACCTACGTGGCATCCGCCATTGCTGACGGGGCGGGGTGCCTGTCGCTGCACTGCCCTGCGCCCAAGTGCGGCGCAGCAGTGGAGGACGCGCGCATCCTCGCGCTCCTCGCGGACGCTGCTGCGCCCGCCCAAGGGGACGCGCTGGGGGAGGGGCGGGGGGAAGCGGGGGCGGAAGGGGACGTGTGCGCCCAGGAGAAGGGGAAAGGGAAGGAAGTGGGGAATGACAGGGGAGGCGATACAGCAGGAGCAGCAGCAACAGCAGCAGGAGAAGGAGGAGCAGCAGGGGCAGAAGTCAGTTCACGTGAGGCTGCAGCCCCTGCAGCTGGTGGTGCGTGTGGCGCTGCTGGTTCGTCCCAGAGTGTTGGGCGCGGGGGCAAGGCGCGGAGGGTCAAGGGCGCACCCTCTGCGCCCCCGCCTGCCGCAGCTGAGCCCGGAGGCAGGGAGGCTGTGGGCTGTGCCTCGGGCGCACATGGCACAGCAGCAGCAGCGGCGGCGGACGCAGCAGTGCACTTAGCAGCAGCAGGGGGGGCAACGGCAGCAGCAGCAGGCGGAGCAGCAGCAGGGGGAGCGGGAGATGAGGGCAGCGGAGCAGCATTCCCGTGCGGGGCGGGGGTGGCGGCAGCAGCGGCGCAGCGGTACAGGCGGTACCAGCTGAGGTCGTACGTGGAGGCGAGTGAGAGCGTCAAGTGGTGCCCCTCGCCCGGCTGTGACTTCGCCATCCACTCCGAAGGCGGCGCCCCCACCCCCCGCAACCTGCCAGGCGCGGGCGCGCGCGGGGGGAAGCTGAAGGGGGTGATGGCGGAGGAGGAGGAGGAGGGGGGCGGGGGGGGCGGGGCGGTGTGGGGCGGGAGCAGGAGTCGGGATGTGCGGTGTGCGTGTGGGCACGAGTGGTGCTGGCACTGCCTGCAGGAGCCCCACCGCCCTGTGGACTGTGAACTCGTGCGCAAATGGGTCGTCAAAAACAGGTCCGTGCGCAAATGGGTCGTCAAAAACAGGTGCGTGTTTTGCCTTGTTGTGTCTCTGCTGTGGGCATGGGGTAGCCTCCCCTCATTATTCCCCACTCTCTCCCCATCCGCCCTCCTCTCCCCCCATCCCCTCCCCTCTCCCCTCTCTCTGTGCATGGGTGGCGGCAGTGCGGAGTCGGAGAACATGAAGTGGATTCTGGCGAACAGCAAGGCGTGTCCGCGCTGCCAGCGGCCGATAGAGAAGAACCACGGGTGCATGCACATGACGTGCTCGCCGCCCTGCCGCCACGAGTTCTGCTGGTTGTGCCTCGGCGACTGGAAGGAGCACGGCGAGGGGACTGGGGGCTTCTACGCCTGCAACCGCTACGAGACCAGCAAGAAGAAGGTCAGTTGGCGGGGGGTTGGGTGGGGAAGAGGGGGGATGAGGGCGGTGAGGGGTAGTGGTGGTGGTTGAAGGCCGACGGGGAGGGGGATGGGGTGGGAGAAAGTAGAGCATGCGGAGGAGCTTTGAAAAGCCTCAAAAAGCATTTTCTTCTTCCATCCTCTCTTCCCCCTTCCCCCTTTCCCTCCCCCGCAGGGCGAGTACAACATGGAGGAGGAGCGGCGGCAGCGCGCGCGGCAGTCACTGGAGCGGTACCTGCACTACTTTGAACGATGGGCCAGCAATGAACAGTCGTGGCGCCGCGCCCAAGAGAGCCTCAAAGAGGTGAGGAGGGGGAGAGAGGAGGAGAGGAGGTGAGAGGAGCTGAGGGGAGGGGGTTAGAGTGGTGAGGGGAACAGAGAGGAGGTGAGAAAGAGGTGGTGGTGATCAGAGGTGAGGGGAGGAGGTTTGAGGAGGTGTGGTAAGAATAACCTAGGCAGGCAACCTGTGAGCCCATCCCACCCCTGCCTCAACTATCCTTATTGCCATCAAACATCGTGCTCTGCCGTTTCCCCCTCTCCGCTTGGCCCACACCTCCTTTATGCTGCTCCTCCCTCCCCACTCTCGCTCGCAGGTGGAGCAGCACCAGGCGGAGCAGCTTCGGGGGCTGATGGGGCTGCCAGCGGCGCAGATGAAGTTTCTATCGGAGGCGTGGCAGCAGATCATAGCGTGTAGGCGCATGCTCAAGTGGACCTACGCCTATGGCTTCTACCTTTCTGATCATCAGCCTGCTCGCCGCAACCTCTTCGAGTACCTCCAGGTCTGTCCCGGTGTCTGTGAGGTCCCAGGTGCCTTCATGTGAGGCCTCAGGTGAGTCTAGATGGAACCTCAGATGTTTTCAGTCAGGACCCATTATGCTTTCAGATTATGCCTTCAGGTGTACTTTCAGGTGCCTTCAGGTAGCCCTCCCGCATACCCTGTATTTGTGCAACCCAGCCCCCACGGCCCGTGTCAGAGCTCCTGCCAGCAGTGTTCTGTGTGGCAGAGCAGCGGCCTCAGCTCAGCTCACCCCCACCAACCACTGCACCCTTCCTTCGTAACTCTGACCCTCTCCCCTACCGATCCTTCCCCCTCTCCCTCCCTCCCCTCCATGAGCATGGTGCTGTGTGGTTACAGGGGCAGGCGGATGCGGCGTTGGGGTGGCTGCACAAGGCAGCCGAGAAGGACGTGGAGGCGTTCGTGCCCTCCCACTTCAAGGGCTCGTTCGACGCGCACGCCGCGCCCTCCCCTGCCGCCCTCTCCCCCCAGCACCGCCTCTCCGAGTTCCTCGCCTTCCGCTCGCACCTCACTCGCCTCACCGCCGTCACCCGCACCTTCTTCCATAACCTCGTCACCGCGCTTGAATCCGGGTTGTCTGAGATTCCCGAGGATGTGCCGAAAGGGGAGGGGGATGCAGGGGTGGGGTCGAGCAAGGGCGCGGGGGAGGGCGGCGAGGGCGAGGAGGGGAGGAAGAGGCGGCGGAGTGGCAGTGGGGGGAACCATGTGCATTTCGCTGATGGGGGGGTGGTGGGGGATGGGCGCGGAGGGGCGAGGATGCGCGTGGACGGGGGGATGGCGGGAGGGGTGAGCCTTGGTGTGGCACAAGGCGTGGTGCAAGGGCAAGGGCAGGGGCAGGGGCAGGTGGGGGGTGGGGGAGGCGCAGCAGGGGAGGGGGAGTACTGGTCGTGCATGCACTGCACGTATGGCAACCCCACCAGCGCGGGCAGCACTGTGTGTCGCATGTGCCACCTGCCCCGCCACCCCCACTGATGCCCTCACCCTCGCGCCTGGATTATGACTTGTGAATCGTGATTCGCGTCCTGCATGCATGCATGCGTGCATGTTTACTCATGGGGAGGGAAACTGGTGCTGCATGGTACATGCTGTGTAGGGCGCATGTGAAAGAAACGTTGTGGCTGTTGATGTATTCAAGAGCAGTGTATGTGTATCGCCGGCAACGGCAGTGGGAGAGCATTGTAAGGAACTTCCATAATCAACAAACAAGTACCGTAGTAGAGCTTGCATGGCTGCAAACCAAATCACATACTGTAGCTGGTGGTGCTTGTAGCGTGAGATGAGAATGGGTGGCGGGAGGGCTTCTCTGTCCTCCCTCGTCAGTCCCTTGCCCGCTGGCACATCCATTCAAACCCACGTACCGTATTCACAGCCAGGGCCTATGAACAAGCACTCTTCAACACAGGGAGCCTAGAGACTAGGACAGGCTGAAGCCGTGTTAGACACTGGCTCAGATAATGTAGCAATTGCACAACACAACACTCTGTTTGGTTGCTCCCGTGGAGTGTATGGGTAGGAGGACGGCCGCAGAGGCATGGTAACGGCGGTGCAACGAGGTGTGCAGCACATGACATGCGCAGACAGTGGCAGCACGCGCACAGTACAGCGACGCACTGCCTTAGCTCCTGGTGCTGGGTGCAGTGTGGTGTAGTGCGGTGATGGAGAGCGTGGGGTGGTGGAGTGTGGTGGCACCTCGTAGGCGATGGAGGAGAGACACCCACGAAAAGGCGAGGGGAGATGAATGCACGCAGGTGGAGGGATTGTGAGAGTGGGTGTGAGGGTGGCCCATTGCCGGAGACAGGAGGTGTGGAGGTGAATGGGTGGGAGGTGGGAGAGGGGGGGTTGGGGAGGTGAGGAGGCAAGTGACTGAGGAGGAGGCGAGGAGGCGAGAGGCGTAGGAGCAGCATCAGAGCAGGGCGGCAGCGAGCCAGGACTCAACGCGGTGGTCCTCTTGATCTGACCCCGTGACGAGTGCGAGAAAGTCCTTGTACTCTATCTGCTTCGCCCCCCCCGCCCCCCTGCCTTCTGCGCCCTCTGCTCCCTCTGCTCCCTCTGCGCCCGTTGCACCCTCTGCTTGGAGCGATCCCGCCCCGTTGCCCTGGAAGCATGGAGGAGGGGAAGCACGAGTGGGGTTCCGGTGGTGGGTGGAGGAGCGAGGAGTGCAGTGGAGAGGCAGTGCAGGCATGCGTGCGCAAGGAAGGAGCAGGGATAAGAGGCAACGACGAGGGACGCAGGGTAGTATCGTTGTAATATTTGAGGATGAGAATACAGCGCGCAGCGAGATGAACGGCGTGCGGAGCAGCTCACGTATTCAGCGGCAGTGGCGGTGGCAATGATGTCGCGCATCTCGTCCAGGGAGCCCATGCCCAGCCGGCAGCACACCGCCGCAAACTCCTCCACGCTCACCGCTCCCGACCCATCCGCATCCATCTCCTGAAAGGCCTCTTGGATGGCGGCGGCATGGCGGTCGCGGTGCAGCACGGTGGTGGCGGCGACAAACTCCGCGTACTCGATGCTGCCACTGCCGTCCATGTCCACCTGGCGGGTGCATGCACCGGCGAGGCATGGTGGAGGGGCGTGGAGAGAAGGAACATGTCGAAAGCAGAGGGAAATTGGAAAGGGTATGAGAAGAGTGGCATGTGGAGGGTTGCAAGAGCAAGCGCGATGGCGTGAATGTACCCACGCTAATGCGAATGTGAATGTGCAAGTGAGAGTTCATGTGCACTGTCCATGTGCATGCGCATGTGCATGTGTGCAGCAGCACGCACGAAGGCAAAGATGCGGCGGATGTCATCTTCACTGAGTGCCGCCCCCACGCTGCGCTGCGCAGGGCAGCAAGTGACTCTTGAGTTGACTCAAAAGTCACCTGTGCGAGTGCACGTGAGAGTGTGCGGCTGTGCGACTGCAAGGCTGTGAGACTGTGAGGCACGCACGAAGGCAAAGATGCGGCGGATGTCATCGTCGCTGAGAGCCGCCCCCACGCTGCGCAGAGCGGCTGTGAGGTCCGCCAGGCTCAGCGCGCCCCCCTGGTCCGCCCCCACCGCACTGAACACCGCCCTCAGCTCCCTCTCCTGCTCCTCTGGCATGTGCCGCGTCGTCACCTGGGGGAAGGTGGGGGAGAGGGAGTGCGGGTGGAGGGTGTGGGACAGGATGGGCGCATGCGGTGCACAAGGATGGATGGATGGGTGTGGCAGGGACGAGAGGAGAGGTGAGGGCGGGGATGGGGATGGACAAGACGGGAGCGCACAGGTGCGTGCACAGTGGGAAGTGCAGTGGAGGAGGGTGGAAGTGTGGGGCATGTGGTATGAGGCATCGGGCAGGGGGCGTGACTGACGAGGAGGGCGAGGTGGCACAGTTTGGACATGGCGCTGAGGCGCTTCATGCGCGGAATGTGGTATGGGGCATGGGGCATGGGGCATGTGGCATGGGGCATGGGGCAGGGCGCAGGGGGCAGGGGAGCAGCTGACCAGAAGGGCGAGGTGGCGCAGTTTGGACATGGCGCTGAGGCGCTTCATGCGCGGCAGCATGATGCTCTCCAACGGCCGCTCCACCACCTCCTGCCCGCATATCCATGGGTCGCCTGCTCCCATGCCGTGGTGTGGCGTGGGGTTGGGGTGGGGTGGGGTGGCAGACAGACACATCAAGGCAGGGAGTGCAGTGAGGGAACAGGGTGAGAGAGCAGTGCGCCATGGAATGGAAGGTAACACAAAAGAGAGCACAGGCAGGGCCAGGACAGCTAAAAGCTGCGCTAGTCTCACCCAGCAGCTGCTGTGCAGTGGGGCGCTTGGAGGGGTCGCGGTCGAGCATGCGGGAGAGCAGCGCCTTGGCGCCCGGTGAGATGAGCGGCCACGGATGCACCGACAGGTCCAATGGCGCTGTGCGGATCGCCTCAAATATCGCCAGCACTGAGTCTGATTGGGGGGAATAGGGTGGGGGAGAAGGGTGGGGGCCAGGATGAGTCTGGGAGAGGGTTGACGAGAGGGAGGGGAGCACGGGCACGAGGGACTGGGAACGTAAGAGAGAAACATTGAAGGGTGGGAGGCAAGTCAGGTGAGGAATGAAGAGTGAGAAGGCCGGAGTAGTAGGAGAGCGGGACAACAGAGGATGGGGCAGCAGGGGAGGGGGCAACAGAGCAGCACCTCCTTGGAAGGGCGGCGTGCCGGCGAGCAGCGTGTGCAGCATGATGCCGGCGCTCCACACATCACACGCGTGCGAGTACCGCTCCCCCAGCACCTCCGGCGCCATGTACATGGGACTCCCTGCCATCGCCTCTAGCTCCTCTCCTGCTCGCAGCACAGATGGGCATGGCGAAACAAGAGGAGGTGGCAGTGGAGGAGGCACAGGCTGTTCTGGCACATGTCAAACAGGGCAGGGACAGGGAGAGGGGGAGAAGCAAAGAGAGGAATGGAGAGAAGGGGGGGCAGAGAGGGGAGCAGAGAGCGCTCGGGCTAGGGACGAGGCAAGTCTCGCCTGGTTGGCAGAAGGCGGCGGAGCCGAAGTCAATGGCCTTGAGCGTGGCGTGGTCTGACTGGTCGGAGAGCAGGAAGTTGCCGAGCTTCACGTCCCGGTGCACTATGCCCAGCGCATGGCACGCCCTCACCACCTCCAACACCACGCGCATTATCGCTGCTGCTGCCCGCTCGCTGTACTCGCCCTGGGGGAAGGAAGGGTGGAAGGCAGAGAGGGCAGACATGAGGGGTGCACGGAGAGAGACAGAGAGTGCAGGTTCAGTGTGGTAGAGGGGGAGGTTATGGCAGACATGGATTGAAATTGGAATGCGTGCGAGAAAGGGAAGGGGAACAGCAGCCCTGGCAGGTGGAGAGCATGAGAGCGCACCTGGTGGGCGATGTGGTGGGTGAGCGAGCCCCCTTGACACAGCTCCATGACGATGTGCACGGCCGTCTGGTCCTCAAACACGCCCTCCATTCGCACCACGTTCGCATGCCCGCGCAACATGCCCAGCACCTGCACCTGGTGGGTGGGGGGAAGGTGGGGGGGTGGAGAGGAGAAGGGGAAGGGATAGGAGAACAAGGATGGGGGAAGCGGGCGGGGCGTGCGTGAGTCGGGGAGGTCGAATCCGCTGCACGTCAATGCCCCAACGCCCCCCATTCCATCATTCTCCTCCACCTGTCAACCAACCCCCTCCCCGCCCTTTCCTGTCTAACACCCACCATCCTCCCTCCTTGCGTGCGCGTACCTCGCGCTGCACGTCCCTGGCGGTGCCTTCCGAGTGGATGGTCTTTTTGAGGATGCTTTTGACGGCCAGCCGTTCGCCCGTGTGGCGGTGCGAGCACGCGCTGATCACGCCGCTCTGCCCGCGCCCAATGAACCCGCCCAGCTCGTACAGCTGTTCCAGCTTCACCGCGCTGTACCGCTTCCCCGTGATCGTCCCCACGTGGTCGCTGCGCGCCGTGCCGTCCGCCGCCGGCCAGCCGTCCCCGCGCCACGACGATTCCGCGGAGGCATAGCCGCTGGTGGGGCGCCGGGCGCGGGGGAAGGAGATGGGGAAAGCGGACGAGAGGAACGACGAGGACGACCGGTTGCGGTGGCGGTTGGAGCGGCTGCCGGCTAGATTGCCGGCGCCATTAGGGGGTCGTGTGACGGCGTGGGCGAGTCGAGAGGGGAGGGAGAGGATGCGCGAGGCGAGGCGGTAGGCGGAGCGACGGGCGGACGGGGGAGCGGAGTGATTGGAGGCGTCGGCGGAGTGGGGACGGGTCATCGCATGGCGGAGAGGGCGGGGAAGGGGACGCGAGGAGAAAGGGGCTGCGCGCGATGCCGCCGAGTGGGATGGTCCGTGGAAGGAAGGATGGGCGGTGGGCACACCGGAATGGCGGCGAATGGGCGAATGGAAGGTGGCTAATAGATCAACGAGGTACGGGGCAGCAACTGCCGATCACCGCGCCGCACCGCACTGTGTCACGGTAATCGTCTACCAGTCTCCCCCCAACCTATCGCGCCTCCCCCGAATCTATCGCGCCTCCCCGCACAGCACTCCCATTCGCAAGGCGCATGGCGGGCGCACGGTATTGGCGGCACGCGCCGGCAGCATGAGCGCAGCACCCGACTCTTTCGCGGCGAGCTCGCAGTATAGACGCGCGCGGCAAGCGGCGAGCGGCAAGCGGCAAGCGGCAGCACGTATGACGACGAGAATTATGTGAAGGATCGTGGGAGTGCGCAATGCTACTGCTGCTTATCGCCGAGAGCCGCCCCCAACCCAAGTGTTGCGGCGAGTGTGAGTGAGTATCGGGTCTGCCGTCGGCCGGCCGTCGGTCCTGTTGGTTGGACGTGTTGCTCTGAACAATGCTGCTCTGTGCTGGAGGCGAGTTGAGGCGAGGTCGAGACGCGACGAAGGAGGAGGTAAGTTGACAATGGAGAAACTTTCTGTGGCAATGCTGCCGAGTTGACAGCATCCAGTCCCAAGATTTATTGTTTGTGATGTGTCTTGACTCTCGCGTCCACGACGCGATATGCCCACCTGTATGCTTTTGGAGTTTGATGGCTGTACAATACGCTACTACAACATACCAGTGTGTTCCCTAGAACGACAACACAGAGCAGTGAGAATAAGGCATTGACTTGAGCAAACACCCCATGTGAAGTGGCACACCCCCGTGACACTTCGTCAAAACTAAATAAATGCCTTCAATCAGCCGTGAGCGCACAACCAGCGCTGATGGGGAGAGGCAGAGCACAGCACGCGGGTCACCAACTAAGCCCCTGCAGGTTGCGTGGGCGCACCTGCCGCACTAGCAGCAGCCTCAGCTGCAGCCGCCGCCGCCGCCGCCGCAGCAGCAGCAGTGGCTGTTTTTGGCACAGAGGAAGAAGCACTATCAGCAGCCACAGCAACAGCGGCAGCACCAGCCGTAGTAGCAGCGGCACCGGCCTTGTTCCTGACAGCTTCCAGTACAGCCTTCACCTGTGCGCCTGTGAGCGTCTCCCTCTCCAGCAAGGCCCCCGCAAGTGCATGCAGCTCCGCCTCGTGTTTCACCAGAATTGCGCGCGCGTTGTCATGCGCGCGCTGCAGCAGCGCACGCACCTCCCTCTCGATGGTCAGCCGAGTCTCCGTGCTCATAGACCGCCCGTCGTCCTCATAATCATGCGCCACCACCCCCACCGCCTCGCTCATCCCATACTTTGTCACCATCTCCCTCGCCAGCCGCGTCGCCTGGACAATATCACTCGACGCACCAGACGTCACCTCCCCCGGGCCGAACACCAGCTCTTCAGCCACGCGCCCCCCCATGCACACGTCCAGCCGGGCCAGCATCTGCGTGCGCGACACGCTCACCTCGTCGGTCTCCGGCAGCTGTGCCACCATGCCCAGCGCCACGCCGCGCGGCACGATGGTGGCCTTGTGCACGGGGTGCGCGCCGGCGGTGTGCACGGCCACCAGCGCGTGCCCGCCCTCGTGGTACGCCGTCAGGCGCCGCGTCTGCGGGGAGATGACGGCGGACTTGCGTTCGGCGCCCATGAGGATGCGGTCCTTGGCGTGCTCCAGGTGCGCTAGGGCCACCGCGCGCTGCCCCTCCATGGCTGCCCGTAGCGCCGCCACGTTCACGAGATTCGCCAGGTCTGCTCCGCTGAAGCCCGGCGTGCCGCGCGCAATTACTGACACGTCCACGTCCTCTGCTCGGGGGATCTGGGAAAGAAGGGAAGGGGGCGGAGAGGTGTGATAGGGTTCGGACTTGCGCTCGGCGCCCATGAGGATGCGGTCCTTGGCGTGCTCCAGGTGGGCTAGAGCCACCGCCCTCTGCCCCTCCATGGCCGCCCATAGTGCGGCCACGTTCACCAGGTTGGCGAGGTCTGCCCCGCTGAAGCCCGGCGTGCCGCGCGCTATCACCGACACGTCCACGTCGTCTGCTCGGGGAATCTGAGGGGGATGGAGGAGGGGCCGGAGAGGGAAAAGAGGAAGAAGGGGCGAAGGGGCGTGGCGGGACAGAGGCGGTGGGTGGAGGGTGAATGGGAGAAGAGGGAAGAAATGAAGCCACATATTCAGCAACAATCTTCCCTGTACCCATGGATGCAGCATCGATTCACACAGCACCTACTCCCACCGCACTGCACCTTGCGCAAGTGGTGCTCCAGAATCTGCCGCCGCCCCTCCACATCAGGGTTCGGCACGACCACATGGCGGTCAAACCGGCCCGGGCGCACGAGCGCCTTGTCAAGGCTCTCCGGGAAGTTGGTAGCGGCCACCACAATCACCCCCTGGTTCTGCTTAAACCCATCGAGCTCCACGAGCAGCTGATTGAGCGTCATCTTCATGTACTGCTGGTCCTTGGGGTTGCGACTGCCGCCTATGGCGTCGATTTCGTCGAGAAACACGATGCAGGGCGCGGCTTTCTTGGCGGCCGCGAAGAGCTCGCGCACGCGGCGCGCGCCCACGCCGACAAACATCTCCTCGAACTCGGAGCCCGACGCGTAGAAGAAGGGCACGCCCGCCTCGCCCGCTATGGCGCGCGCCAGCATCGTCTTGCCTGTTCCTGGTGGGCCCACCAGCAGCACTCCCTTGGGTAGCTTTCCTCCCAGGCGCGTAAACCGCTGTTGGGGGGGACACAGGGAAGGGGGTGCACGGGGCAGGCGGCAGGGAAGGTGAGTTACAAAATGCGAGGAGGTGGGAAATGAAGGAAGGTGGGAGGGTGGAGGCGGAACGAAATGGCACGAATTGATTTGGCAACAGGGGTGTGAGGGACATTAAAGTGTTGCTGGAAGTGCAGCAGACCACTTACCACGGGGTATGAGAGGCATGAGTTGGAGCACAGAGGGGAGCGGAGAGTGGGTGGTGACACACCTTGGGGTCGCGCAGGTAGTGCACGATCTCCTCGAGCTCCGCCTTGGCCTCATCCACGCCCTTCACATCGCTGAACCGCGTGTCACTCTCCGCTGCCGGCTGCACCTCCTCGTTCAACCCCAACCCTGCAGGGAAGAGTGAGGGGAGAGGGGTGGATTTGGAAGGACGAGGACAATGTGAGCAATGTGGCAGTGCAATGTGAGCGGGAATGGAGGGATGGATGAAGGCGGTGAGGTGGGATGGAGGAGAGGCATGGCGAGGCAGGTGCAAACCGATCAACTTGTGCTCATTGCAAGAGGCCATGCAGCGTGCCAATCACATCCACCCATCCCATCCCCTTCACGTTCCCCACCTCCCATTCCCCCTCTCCCTCCACTCTCTCACCGCGTCCCACATCGCGCTCGCGGGCGATGGCCCAGAGCGCGCCGAGCACGAGGGCGGCAGTGCCCAGCGACCTGAGCGCGCGCCACGCGTGTCCGCGCGCGCCCTCGCTCGCCACCATGTGCAGCGGCGCGCTCGCCGTCCCCAGCGCGCCCTCCACCGCCACCGCGCCCACCACCCCCGGGAGAGGCGCGCGCATGGACGACAGGGGCGCGGAGGAGGCGGGGAAGGGGGAGGCGGATCGCGCAGCGCCTGCAGGCGGCGATCGGAGAGGGTTCGGGAGGGAATGGGGAAGAGAAAGAGGTGAGGGCGTGGAGAGAACGGATTGAGATCAGGAGGAGCAGGGCGGAGGAAGGAGGCATGAGGCATGCGCCACGGGCCATGGCGTGTGGTGGGGCAGCACGCGGAGTGACAGCCGAGGGGCATGTGGAGGAGGGGCGCGCGGTACCTCGTTGCAGCGTGGCGAGCAGTGCGCTGCCATCAAGGCGGTCAACAGCCACCAGCGCGCGCACGTACTCCGCCAGCGCGCCTGGCACGGCCTGCAGCTGCGCGCTCGCCTCAAACGCGCGGATCGCCTCCTCAGGGTTGTGCCGCGCCATCTCCGCCAGCCACGCCACCTGCTCCCGCTCCCCCGCCCCCGCCCTCCGCGCCGCTGCCACCCGCCCCCAGCCGCCCGTGCTGGCGCTGCTTCCGCCGAAGGCGCTGGGGTAGGCTGCGGCGGGGCGCGCGGAGGTAAAGTGGCGCAGTGCGAGGCGGAGAAGCGGCGGGTCCGCGTCACCGCGCGCGCTGCTGCATGGCTGCCAGCTGACCCCCGCCCGCACGCCCTCACCTCCCGCGCATCCCCCTGCCCCGCACGCACTCCGCGCAGCTGCTCTTCCCCCAAGCGCAGAAGCCGCCCCTCGCCCAACCTGCTTGGCGCGCTCTTGCGCAGCTCGTGCGCCCTACGGTGGGGGACGGTGGAGGGGCAAAGGGAGGGTACGGCAGGGTTCGCCATGGTGGGAAGAGGCGGAGAACAGAGAGCGTTTGGTGACGTGCGAGTCGGAGAGGGAGGAAGGGGGGGCAGGGGGAAAGAGGAACGAAGGAGGAAAACGGTAAGGAGAAAACGATGGGGCAGCGGAGGGAGACGAAAGAGGCGGTTCGGTAAGAGGAGAGAGGTGTTGACAAAGCGGAGGGATAGGGGAAGGGAGGGGAGGAGAGGGTGGCAGGGCGCTGACCACTCTATGCATGGGCGCGCGTTGACGGCCGACGAGCGACGGAGGCTGACGGAGCGACGGAGGCTGACGGAGCGACGACGGTGACGGCGAAGCTGACGGACGACACGGGTTCGGGCTCAGGCAATTGACGGAGAGATGGACGCGCGGGTGGATGGCTGGAGCACGTGCGCCGAGGCGTGGTGCGGTGCAACGGCGCGAATTGCGGGGACTAGCGGAGTTGGGCGATTTAGACCGTGAGCGTAGATTCGTGTCAGGGTTGCGATGCGATGCGAGGCGGTTATGTGTCTGGCAGCACCGCGGTCACGTCAACTAGCGTCGTGGTTGCGCACGAGGCCAGATGCGAGTGGCGCGGTGTGTAGAAGGAACGCAAGAGCAGGAGTGGCAGGCAGTCTGTGTGGCCTTCGAAATCTGGGGGAGGCGTGTTTGGTGAGCCATAGTTTTGATGTGCCCAGTTCGCCACTGGTAACCGGCCTATGTGTTGTGCGAGGCTCGCGAAATGTTGATTTTCATGGTCGCACCTTTACGGTGGTGGTTTGGTAGGGTCAAATGAAACTACAGTACGGTATGGGGTCGAATTTTCACCCTTCCTGACACCATTTACTCACGCTACAAGAAGGATCAAGTGTGTATTTTCGAACCCCACAACAGCGTGGAGCGAGTAGCGAAGTCATCAATAACGGATTCCCAGCACATGAGAGCTTTCAATACTTGCTAGACAACTCCACCATCACTCCACCTCCCTCTCACCTCGTTTGTCGCTTGCATTCCGACCGCTATGTCCGCGCTTCCCCTCGCCCGCGCGCACCAGCTTTGCGCGCCACTCATTCCGCCATGCCTTTCTTCTCCCCCATATCTCCGCTCCGCCCCGCTACCGCCGCTCTCCGCCATCCCCGCGAGTCCGCTCTGCCGTCGCCGCACTCCGCTCGCCCCTCTCCGCGGGGCGGCCAGGCGGCGCGCGATCGCGCTGAGGGCGCAGGCGGCGGCAGGCGCGGATGAGGGGAAGGAGTCGAGGGGCGGCGGCGTGGGCGAGCGAAGCAGCAGCGGGGTGAAGCGCGTGGTGGTTCTCGGCGGGAGCGGGCGGGTGGGGCGGTCGACGGCCGTGGCGCTGGCGGCGCTGGCGGCGTCCGACGACGAAGCGACGCGCGCGGAGTTCCGACTGGAGCTGATCATCAGCGGGCGCAACAGGTGCGCGCCCGCCCGGAATGGCGCACTCTGCGCGTGGCGCTCTGTGCGAAGCTCCGTCAGTGCTGCGCCGTCCTTGCGTGTGTACATGCGCGCATGGGTGCATGTGCCCCTCTCCTCGCTGCCTGCCGCCATGTGCGCCCCTTCCCAAATCTCCACTCATTCCTTCTCCCCTCATTCGTCCCCCCACACCCCACCCACATCCCACCCACACCCCACCCGCCCACCACTGTCTTCATGCGTGCGTGCATGTGGGGGCGCATCGGTACCGCCACGACCGAGGCGAGGCAGGGGGAGGGGCGAGGCGGTGTGTGAGGAGGTGAGGGCGGCAGCGGGGGCGGCAGGGAGTGCGACGTTCATAGAGTGCGACATCTCCGACGCCTCTGCACTTGACGCGCTCCTCACAGGTGCCCCGGGTCTCACCTCTCCCATTGATCACGCCGTGCCGTGCACTCCACAGCCTCCTCACATTCCGCCCTCCTCTCAGTCGCCCTCACATCGCTGGGTCTCGCCATGCCCTTCCGTGCCATGTTCTGCCACTGTCGCTGCTGCTGCCTCGCCCTGCATCACCTCTCCCCCCTTGCTCCCCCGCCCCGTCCTCCGCCTGCTTGCAGGAGCCGACCTGGTGGTGCACTGTGCAGGGCCCTTCCAGCGAGAACCGCACTGCACCGTTCTGGAAGCAGCCATCCGCACCAAGGTGGGCTGCCTGCCTCTCAGGCGTCTTCCCCCTCTCCCCTCCACACACACTGCCACACCGCTCGCTTGCGCTACCCGTCACCTGCACTGTGCTGTCGTAGCACCATACCATCTTCTCTGCCTTCCCTTCTCTCCCACCCCTCCCAACCCCCCCCTTTAATTAGACGCCCTACGTGGACGTGTGTGATGACGTGGCGTTCGCTGCCAACGCGCGGTCGCTGCACGGGGCTGCGGTGGCGGCGGGTGTGCCGGCCATCACCACCGCCGGCATCTACCCGGGCGTCAGCAACTGTCCGTATGGAGTAGTGGGAGGGGACGGGGACAGACGGGCGGGTGGGACGTTGGGGCATAACTGGCGGTGGGAGAGTGGGAGATTAGCGTGAATACTGGGGTAGGAGGGGGGAGCTGACATTGGGAGTTGTGGGGACATGGGCCACAGGTTGTTTGCTTAATGCTGCTGCCATGCTGCACGCCCTTATGTGGGGCATGACAGTCCGAGCAACGCGCCGTTCTGTGCTTTCCTGTGCTCTCCTGTCCGCAGTGATGGCAGCAGAGCTGGTGCGGCTAGCGGGGGAGGAGGGGGCGCGCATGGAGGAGCAACAAGGCCAGCAGCAGGCCGCCCTCGGCCTTCGACCAAAGAGCCTGCGGTGCCACCACTCTCTCACTCACTCACACGCTCATTCACTCACGCACACACTCAAATGGTCCTTCATTAATTCGCAACGGTGTTACTCACTCACTCACCCACCTGCACCCACCAAGCTCCAACTTCACCATATCGTGTCGTTTCGCCCACCTGTCTCCTCTCCTGCTCCGTCGCATTCCCTCCACCCACTCCCCCCCCCCATGCACTTCGCTTCTCTTCTCATCCGCCCCACAAAAAACCTCCCTCCATTCTCTTCCCAGCTTCTCGTATTTCACAGCGGGCACGGGAGGGGCGGGTCCCACCATTCTGACCACGAGCCTGCTGCTGCTGGGCGAGCCTGCCACGGCCTTCAAGGACGGTGGGCCGGGGTGATGGGGGTGATGGGGGTGACAGGGGTGATGGGGGAAGTGAGAGGGGGATGACGGGGCGTGCTTTGAAGAGCGTGGAAGAGATGAGTTTAGAAACGGGTCCCACCATCCTGACCACGAGCCTGCTGCTGCTGGGGGAGCCTGCCACTGCCTTCAAGGACGGTGAAGGGGGCAGATGGGGTGTAGGGGGAAGTGAATGGGGGATGAGGGCGGTGTTTTGAAATGCATAGGAGAAGGAGGTGTGGAGTGGATGTGGGGAGTGAAGTGTGGAGGGGAGAGAGTGGGATGGAAGGAGGGCATCAGAGGGTTGCTCACCTTTTATTATTTTCCCGTCCCCCCTGCTTCCCCTTGCTCGCCCTTGTCTTTTCGGCATGGGGTCTCAATCGCCCCGTGCCCTCTTCCCCTGCCCTCACCCTCCCCTCCCCTCCCTCTCCCCGCCAGGGCAGCGCCTGCAGCTGCCAGCGTACAGCCGGCAGCGTCTGGTGGACTTTGGGCCGGGCGTGGGGGAGAGAAGCACGTACCTGCTGTGAGTGACGGCGTGGGGGAGAGAAGCACGTACCTGCTGTGAGTGAGGGCGTGGGGGAGAGAAGCACGTACCTGCTGTGAGTGACGGCGTGGGGGAGAGAAGCACGTACCTGCTGTGAGTGACGGCGTGGGGGAGAGAAGCACGTACCTGCTGTGAGTGACGGCGTGCCATGCCTTTCCTTGCCTTGCCTTTCCATACCATGCATGCCATACCTTGCCTTGCCATGACTGTGCTGCACATATGTCCGCAGCAGCTGTCGCCACTGCTCTTTAGGCGTCTGCCTCGTCTCTCTGCCCTCCTCCCTCGTTCCTCTCCCGCTCCTCCCCTCCTGCCTCCCCCCCCCGCCCAGAAACCTACCGGAGGTGGTGTCAGCGCACGGGGTGCTGGGGGTGGCCACGGTGTGGGCGCGCGTAGGCACGGCGCCGCACATGTGGAACTGGGGCATGCACCTGCTGCGCTCCCTGCTGCCTCACCTGCGTGCTCTGCTGCCTGCCCCCTGTCCAGCTGCAGGTGGGCGCGCTGCTTCTCATCCTGCCACATCCCCCTCGTCCCTGCCAGCGTGCAACCTCTCATGTGCCCAAGTCCCCCCATTCCTTGGGTGGGCCCTGCCTGTGCCAGTCAGTGCTGCAGGACCGCAGCGCAGTGCAGCGCATGGTGGGTGCGTTGGAGCCTCTGGTGCGCGCCGCATGCTCACACCATCCCCACCCATCACTCACCCTCTTCCCCTCCCCACCTTCCCCTCCCCCCCTCCCGCGGACCCACATCCCCACCAGGCCGTGCTGCAGGACCGCAGGGCAGTGCAGCGAATGGTGGGTGCGTTGGAGCCGCTGGTGCGCGCCGCTGATGGCAGCGCGGGGGAGAGGGTCGCCATGCGGGTGAGGAGGGGAGGGCGGTTGGGGGGAATGTGACTTAGCGGCGGTGCATTCCATGAGCGACCCCAGAATCCATGCTTCCTCCTTTTCCCTCCCTTCCCCCTGTCTATCTACTCTCTATGTCTCCCCTTGACACCACCCTACCTTCCCCCACTCCGTCCCCCTCCCTCCTTCCTCCTCGCGCCACTACTCCCCCTCGTCCCCTCTTCTGTGTGCTACATGTGTCAAGGTCGATTTGGATACCGAGAATGGTCGCTCCACAACGGCTCTGTTCTCTCACCGCCGCTTATCAGTGTGAGTTCTCATCACTGGGAGTCCGTGTGTTTTTGTGTCAGTGTGAAATCTTATCAGAGTGAACGCTTATATCCGTGTTATCCGTACGAATGCTACTCAGTGTGAGTTCGTACATTGTAAGTACTTACTGGTGTGAGGGCATGGGGTCTATCCAACGGCATCACATCAACATCAGCATTATGACAAGGAAACTAAACATCAACATGTCATGGACCTTTCTGCTGCTCCTCACAGTAACTCCCCCCTGCGCCTCAACCGTCCCTCCCCCCACCCCCCTGAGTGGCGCCCAGGAGTGTGGGTGTAGCCACAGCAGCGTTTGCTGTCGCTCTGCTGGAAGGCACGTCCCTGCCAGGCGTGCACTACCCCGAACAGGTATGCCGTTGATGCACAACCCTCCTCCCATGCACTGCCTTCCTCCATTGCACTAGCCTCCTCGCATCCACCCACTGCATATCTGAGTCTCGTTCTCCACGTGCTCTTGGTACCCTCGTGTTCCTCCGTGCCTGCTGCTTGGATTCAAAAGGTTGAGGCGATCCCAGTGGCGCAGCGAGAGAAGCTATTGCAGCGTGCCGCTCTGGGCGCACGGTTCTTTGCCATCAACAAGTGAGTGCGCTCTACTGGCCTGTGACCGCCCCATGCTCTCAAGCTCTTAACTCTCACACTCTTGAGTGGTGCATGTGTTGGATGAGCACTGCTCGCACCTGCTCACTGACTGACCGAGCGTGTGATGTTCTGTGCAGGCCCGGTTGGATGATCGAAAGGGAACTCAAGCAAATTGGCATGGGTATGTACGTATGATACATGAAGGGCGCTTGTGAAAGCCTCTTCGTCACATGTGGTGCTGTAGTTGGTAATGCTTCACGATATCTTTCATCATCTGAATAATGTATTTCCCTCTACGTCGCTTCGTAGTACCCATTGTTTGTGGAGTGCATCTGGAAAACTATGCACATGCCTAGTATGTCTCGCAGAGCACTGACCAACTCCACCACCAGTCTGCTATACAGAGGCACTCGGGCACATCACACACGCAGCTGTACAGGTCCTCAACGCTTCGGATGGCGTCTACCGGTACCGTAATCCCAAGTTGGAAAGCTAGAGAGAGCGGGTGCCAGTATTCCAACTTAACTAACATAAACCGCTTGACGATCACACAGATGATGAATACTAACGCTAAGGTTCGTAAGGTAGTGGCGGATACAATTCTGAGCCCGAGCTCTTGTACACGCACAGCTTGCGCAGTCGAGGCAAGGAGCTGACGCTCACAGGCACAGAGCTCACATCAGCACCATCAGCAGCTATCTCCAAAGCCGTGAGGGTCCGCAGCTCGCTCATGCTTGCTAGCATTGTGTCCAGTGACTCGGTCCACTCCACATTCAGCTCTCGCAGCTGCGGTAACATTGACCCGATGCCTTCTGGAAGCCTTTCCAGTCCAGCTGCGCAGATTGTGAGCGAGCGGAGCTGCGGGAATGTGAGCGGGAAGGGAAGCTCCGTAGCCGTGTCTGGCAAACGTAAGGTCAAGCGCCGCAGCTGGGACAAACTCCTGCTCATCGCCACCCCATCCTCCAGACGGGGCAGGTCCAACGTCAGATCCGTCAAATTTGGCACCTGCGACAAGTCAGGAAGGTCAGTCTCCGTGATCACACTCCCCACTCGCAGGACCTCAAGCGAACGTGGCAGGTACTCAGGGATGTCCGTCAAATAGCGATAAGCAGACAACTCCAGGTCCTTCAGCCGCCCTAGGCTCTCCAAATCCTGTGGTACTTCGTGAAGGGAAATAACGGCACCCACACCTTGTATTTCGGAATTAATTTGAAAACGGAGGGATTCAAGACGAGTGAGATTTGCCAATGATTCCGGAAGCAACTCAATCTTTTCGCAATCGCGCAACCTCAGAACCTTCAAGTTTTGCAGCCCTTCCATGCCTTCGGGTAGTCCAGAAAAATTACCATACTTGAGATGAAGCTCTGTCAAGGAAGATAGCCGTGTGAACGAGGGCGGGAAATAGCGAATATCGTAGATATGGAGCAGCTGGAGACGAATGAGCTCTCCAAATCCGTCTGGTAGCTGGAAATTATTCTGGCCAAATGGATCTATGTCCAAGAAGAAGGCCTGCAGTGAGGTAAGCTGACAAAGTGAATCAGGGAGGGCTTTGAAAGGCACGGCGAGTATTGCCAACATTTTGAGTGCCGGTAATCCACCAAAGTTACTGGGAAGGCTTCTAATACGGCTACAACACTCAAGGACGAATATCTCCAAGCGGGTGAGAGAGATAAAGTCTTCAGGCAGTTCCACCAAGGATTTGCATTTTCGAATGATGAGCCTGCGCAGGCGTGGTAGCAGCTCTCCTAGGTGGTCTGGAAGGTGATGCAGCTGATCGCAACCCGAGATCACTAGGTCCTCTAGGCGGGTGCACGGCGATCCGGGTAAAAGGATGGAGTCTAACGGATGACATGATTGGAAGAATTTCAGCGACTTAAGGGAACTCAGGATGCTTGAAGGAGATGAGTCCTGACCGTCGTGGTATGAAGAAATGATGGAAAGATGGGTAAGGTCCGGGAGGTGAGCGAGGGTAGATAGGTGCCGATGATGAAACGGGAAGCCAATGTAGAGGGTAGTGAGAAATGTAAAGTTTTTGAAACTCGGATTCTCCAAAGCTGAAGGGTCAGAGAGAAAAAGCGTGCGCAGATTCTTCAGCTGGAAGAATGAAGCTGGTAGATCTCTATCGTCGTGAGTGAGAAAGATGGAAAGCTGCTGCAGCCCCGTGCATCTCTGGAAGAGTAGATCCAGGCCTCGTGGCGTTATTGGGTGCTCAAACTTTGTCCGATCGCGCGATCTTGAAATTCCCCATCCTATGTGGAGAGTGGTCAGTTTAGGACACGACGAGCCTAGGCCAGAGAGGAAATCGTCGTCCAGTCGATCCACACTGCCGTCACTCAGGTGCAGATGCGTCAGGTTCGGAAAACGAGAGACGAGGACAGCAAGGTCTTCCTTGGACACGGTGCAGTTTTCCCTGACAACAAGCGTGGAGACGTGTGCTTTTGCAAGGTTACGCCAGCGACGGCAGATGGACGCGTTTAAGAGGCTCAAAGCGACGACCGCGAAGGGACCCGGCGTGGGTATGGGTGTCTCGTGCTCCTGGCGATCTAAAGAATAAGCATCTGGTGGAGTATCAGCATCTGGTAATTCGAAAGGCTTTAAATCGGGAGTTATCGAATTCCACAACTTGTCCGTCAAGGATTCTTGGGGAGCAGGTTGAGAGTGCCAGAGGATCCTAATGAGAAGGTCGTCAGAAAGACTGTTGATAGTAGTGGCTGGATTCATCTTGAGAGAATTGGTTCCGACCAATAGCAGGTAAGAAAGTAAGTGCGTTCAGAATAGATCCTCCCAGATAAGAGACTGGAAACTCGAAACAAATCCACACAAAAGGTGGAAAGGAGCTGACTAGTTCCATGCTTGCCTCGCGAGTCATGCGTCAGCAGCAGAAGCTCAGAGCATGTCTAGTGCGTACACTATGCAGCTTTTACAAAAACTTTATGTAACAGTTATCACGCGTCGAAAAGGTCCGCAAGGAGCGGGCGGACACAATTCGCCACTCGCACAACTCACACAGCAAATGCGCGATAGTGACGACAGCTCAGCATAGTAACCCGAAGCTCATCAGTTCAACTTCCACAAACGGGTGTGCCGCGCGACGCCGGGATCCAAAGCGCATGTCTGAAGTTTGGCGAAATTTTTTCTTAGCGAAATCACGAAAGAACTCGCAACAACGGGCACTGTAGCGATGCAGACGCGAAGTCTGGAATACGCCGGGCCTTGTTCTGTGGCCCGGTGACGTGCCAAGACTTATCGCCAACAAGGCCTTGGTGACGTGCCACGCACGAATCACCAAGACTTATCGCCCACAGTGTTTGACTAATGAATGACTGCCGCGTCGGCGATTTTGTTCCTCGCGCCAAAACCCAGACTGCTGAAGCAAGTTCGGCCTATTCGGTTCTGCCTGATTGGTTTCCACCGATTTGGTCTGTCGCGCCATGTCAGATCAGATGTCCTGGAAATGTGACAGATTTCAAAATCGTCAGAGGTGGACGGCTCATAGCTGCTCCAAACCTAGCGTGGGTTACAAACCTACAAATTACCCTCGCACACAGATGCTCTTGCCATTCTCTTGTCATCGCCAGCAAAAAATGTCCATTCCCGTCTCAACGATGAGTGGCTTTCAGGGGCCAGAACCAACCCGTAGAAATTATGGACCATATAGAGCGCTACGGGGGTTGAAACTGAAAATATCCACCCCGACTTCTAGCAGGACAGCTCAAGCAGCATCACGCCAACCCTTGACTTCAGTTGATCACAACAGCCATACTGACGCGAGTCATGACTTATCAGCCAAAGTGTGTAACTTCGCCATTTCTTCTTATTCAGTGTATATCTCTTCTGTGTACTCTGAGGACGAGATCGAAACGACTAGTTCTTGCAGGACGTTGATTGCAAGGCGGAGATTCTCGCCTTACGCAACGACCGTGATGAAACGGCTAAGGAACGTGACTTGCTTCTTGCTCGTAATAAGGAGCTCGAGCATTCGTTGGAAACCTTGAAGGTTTCTCTGCAGCTTGCTAACAAGGAGTCAAAAGAGGTACGTGTGGGACGTTGGACTGTCTGTCAATGATGCAGAAACAGGTCTGATCCAGATTCTTTTCACGGTTCTTGATAATACACGCGCACTAAGAATCACGTCTAATGCAGATTTACACGCTCAAGGAAAAGGATGAAGCTACTATCAGTTATCAACGGGTACGCTAGCTGCATGATAACTTGCTTCTTGCTTCTTGCTCGTAATAAGGAGCTCGAGCATTCGTTGGAAACCTTGAAGGTTTCTCTGCAGCTTGCTAACAAGGAGTCAAAAGAGGTACGTGTGGGACGTTGGACTGTCTGTCAATGATGCAGAAACAGGTCTGATCCAGATTCTTTTCACGGTTCTTGATAATACACGCGCACTAAGAATCACGTCTAATGCAGATTTACACGCTCAAGGAAAAGGATGAAGCTACTATCAGTTATCAACGGGTACGCTAGCTGCATGAAGCTGCTTCTTCCGTTCCTGCGTCGGACGTTTTCCGCGCGCTTGCAGGTCGAATGGTGCGCAGGTCGAATTTGCAATCTAGTAGCTAATTTATACTTCGGCTGTAACTGGGAACGGAACGGAAAATATGAATTTGGGTCACGGTCGAATTTGGATCAAAAACAGAACCAGACTCTTTCTACCACAATCAAGCTAAGACAGGACACTGTAGCTCCGCAAAGCGAACAGGTTAAGGTCACGGTCCCAGACTTGTCCGGACTTATCGCGGGCGAACTTCAGAACCGTCATCTAAGGTAGGTTCCTCTCGGGCTTATCGCGGGCGAACTTCAACGAATGCTCGAGCTCCTTATTACGGGCGAACATGCCTTCCCCCTCTCATCCCTTCCCCCTCTCATGACTTCCCCCTCTCATGCCTTCCCCCTCTCATGCCTTCCCCCTCTTATGCCTTCCCCCTCTCATGCCCTCCCCCTCTCATGCCCTCCCCCTCTCATGCCCTCCCCCTCTCATGCCCTCCCCCTCGCATGCCCTCCCCCTCTCATTCCCTCCCCCTCGCATGCCCTCCCCCTCTCATTCCCTCCCCCTCTCATGCCATCCCCCTCTCATGCCTTCCCGCTCTCATGCCTTCCCCCTCTCATGCCTTCCCCCTCTCATGCCTTCCCCCTCTCATGCCTTTCCCCTCTCATGCCTTCCCCCTCTCATGCCTTCCCCCTCTCATGCCTTCCCCCTCTCATGCCTTCCCCCACTCATGCCTTCCCCCTCTCATGCCTCCCCCCTCTCATGCCTTCCCCCTCTCATGCCTGCCCCCTCTCATGCCTTCCCCCTCTCATGCCTTCCCCCTCTCATGCCTTCCCCCTCTCATGCATTCCCCCTCTCATGCCTTTAATTTAAAGGAAATGGGAACATATATGGTATTCACTTTACGTGTACAAAGAGAATAATGTGTCGGCTGGTAAGGTCAGTATGCACGCTTGCGTGTAGGTACAAGGCGGAGCTGAAACTCTGAAATCTGCCAAATTATGTGGATCGGAAAGGTTTTAACCAAGTGTTGTTGAAGTAGAAGGCCTAATCTAGTGGACTGGCAAGAATATGGCACTAACTGCATCTCTACAAACATACGTAATGCGCTGGTCAGTTTGGTCGGTATGCGCGCCTGTAGTGCAGGTACCATGTACGACTAGAATGTATATATCTGCCTAATTACATAGATCCGATTGGTTAAAACATGGTAGGGGGGTGGGGAATGGTATCAGTTAAAGGAAATGGGAATACATACGGAGAGAAAATGCGTCGGCCGGTAAGGCCTGTATGCACGCTTGCGTGTAGGTACAAGGCGGAGCTGGAACTCTGAAATCTCCCAAACTATGTGGATCGGAAAGGTTATAACCTAGTGTCGTTGAAGTAGACGGCCTAATCTAATGGACTGGCAAGAATATGGCACAAACTACATCTCTATAAACATACGTAATGCGCTGATCAGTTTGGTCGGTATGTGCGCCTGTAGTGCAGGTACCATGTGCGACTGAAATGCATTTATCTGCCAAATTACATAGATAAGATAGGTTAAAAAATGGTAAAGGGGTGGGGAATGGTTTAATTTAAAGGAAATGGGAACATATATGGTATTCACTGTATGTGTACAGAGAGAATAATGTGTCGGCTGGTAAGGTCAGTATGCACGCTTGCGTGTAGGTACAAGGCGGAGCTGAAACTCTGAAATCTGCCAAATTATGTGGATCGGAAAAGTTTTAACCAAGTGTTGTTGAAGTAGAAGGCCTAATCTAGTGGACTGACAAGAATATGGCACTAACTGCATCTCTACAAACATACGTAATGTGCTGGTCAGTTTGGTCGGTATGCGCGCCTGTAGTGCAGGTACCATGTACGACTGGAATGTATATATCTGCCAAATTACATAGATCCGATTGGTTAAAACATGGTAGGGGGGTGGAGAATGGTATCAGTTAAAGGAAATGGGAATACATACGGAGAGATAATGCGTCGGCCGGTAAGGCCTGTATGCACGCTTGTGTGTAGGTACAAGGCGGAGCTGGAACTCTGAAATCTCCCAAACTATGTGGATCGGAAAGGTTATAACCTAGTGTTGTTGAAGTAGACGGCCTAATCTAATGGACTGGCAAGAATATGACACTAACTACATCTCTATAAACATACGTAATGCGCTGATCAGTTTGGTCGGTATGGGCGCCTGTAGTGCAGGTACCATGTGCGACTGAAATGCATTTATCTGCCAAATTACATAGATTAGATAGGTTAAAAAATGGTAGGGGGGTGGGGAATGGTTTAATTTAAAGGAAATGGGAACATATATGGTATTCACTGTACGTGTACAGAGAGAATAATGTGTCGGCTGGTAAGGTCAGTATGCACGCTTGCGTGTAGGTACAAGGCGGAGCTGAAACTCTGAAATCTGCCAAATTATGTGGATCGGAAAGGTTTTAACCAAGTGTTGTTGAAGTAGAAGGCCTAATCTAGTAGGCTGGCAAGAATATGGCACTAACTGCATCTCTACAAACATACGTAATGCGCTGGTCAGTTTGGTCGGTATGCGCGCCTGTAGTGCAGGTACCATGTACGACTGGAATGTATATATCTGCCAAATTACATAGATCCGATTGGTTAAAACATGGTGGGGGGGTGGGGAATGGTATCAGTTAAAGGAAATGGGAATACATACGGAGAGAAAATGCGTCGGCCGATAAGGCCTGTATGCACGCTTGTGTGTAGGTACAAGGCGGAGCTGGAACTCTGAAATCTCCCAAACTATGTGGATTGGAAAGGTTATAACCTAGTGTTGTTGAAGTAGACGGCCTAATCTAATGGACTGGCAAGAATATGGCACTAACAACATCTCCATAAACATACGTAATGCGCTGGTCAGTTTGGTCGGTATGGGCGCCTGTAGTGCAGGTACCATGTGCGACTGAAATGCATTTATCTGCCAAATTACATAGATTAGATATGTTAAAAAATGGTAGGGGGGTGGGGAATGGTTTAAATTAAAGGAAATGGGAACATATATGGTATTCACTGTACGTGTACAGAGAGAATAATGAGTCGGCTGGTAAGGTCAGTATGCACGCTTGCGTGTAGGTACAAGGCAGAGTTGAAACTCTGAAATATGCCAAATTTTGTGGATCGGAAAGGTTTTAACCAAGTGTTGTTGAAGTAGAAGGCCTAATCTAGTGGACTGGCAAGAATATGGCACTAACTGCATCTCTACAAACATACGTAATGCGCTGGTCAGTTTGGTCGGTATGCGCGCCTGTAGTGCAGGTACCATGTACGACTGGAATGTATATATCTGCCAAATTACATAGATCCGATTGGTTAAAACATGGTAGGGGGGTGGGGAATGGTATCAGTTATAGGAAATGGGAATACATACGGAGAGAAAATGCGTCGGCCGGTAAGGCCTGTATGCACGCTTGTGTGTAGGTACAAGGCGGAGCTGGAACTCTGAAATCTCCCAAACTATGTGGATCGGAAAGGTTATAACCTAGTGTTGTTGAAGTAGACGGCCTAATCTAATGGACTGGCAAGAATATGGCACTAACTACATCTCTATAAACATACGTAATGCGCTGGTCAGTTTGGTCGGTATGGGCGCCTGTAGTGCAGGTACCATGTGCGACTGAAATGCATTTATCTGCCAAATTACATAGATTAGATATGTTAAAAAATGGTAGGGGGTGGGGAATGGTTTAATTTAAAGGAAATGGGAACATATATGGTATTCACTGTACGTGTACAGAAAGAATAATGTGTCGGCTGGTAAGGTCAGTATGCACGCTTGCGTGTAGGTACAAGGCGGAGCTGAAACTCTGAAATCTGCCAAATTATGTGGATCGGAAAGGTTTTAACCAAGTGTTGTTGAAGTAGAAGACCTAATCTAGTGGATTGGCAAGAATATGGCACTAACTGCATCTCTACAAGCATACGTAATGCGCTGGTCAGTTTGGTCGGTATGCGCGCCTGTAGTGCAGGTACCATGTACGACTGGAATGTATATATCTGCCAAATTACATAGATCCGATTGGTTAAAACATGGTAGGGGGGTGGGGAATGGTATCAGTTAAAGGAAATGGGAATGCATACGGAGAGAAAATGCGTCGGCCGGTAAGGCCTGTATGCACGCTTGTGTGTAGGTACAAGGCGGAGCTAGAACTCTGAAATCTCCCAAACTATGTGGATTGGAAAGGTTATAACCTAGTGTTGAAGTAGACGGCCTAATCTAATGGACTGGCAAGAATATGGCACTAACTACATCTCCATAAACATACGTAATGCGCTGGTCAGTTTGGTCGGTATGGGCGCCTGTAGTGCAGGTACCATGTGCGACTGAAATGCATTTATCTGCCAAATTACATATATTAGATAGGTTAAAAAATGGTAGGGGGGTGGGGAATGGTTTAATTTAAAGGAAATGGGAACATATATGGTATTCACTGTACGTGTACAGAGAGAATAATGTGTCGGCTGGTAAGGTCAGTATGCACGCTTGCGTGTAGGTACAAGGCAGAGCTGAAACTCTGAAATATGCCAAATTTTGTGGATCGGAAAGGTTTTAACCAAGTGTTGTTGAAGTAGAAGGCCTAATCTAGTGGACTGGCAAGAATATGGCACTAACTGCATCTCTACAAACATACGTAATGCGCTGGTCAGTTTGGTCGGTATGCGCGCCTGTAGTGCAGGTACCATGTACGACTGGAATGTATATATCTGCCAAATTACATAGATCCGATTGGTTAAAACATGGTAGGGGGGTGGGGAATGGTATCAGTTATAAGAAATGGGAATACATACGGAGAGAAAATGCGTCGGCCGGTAAGGCCTGTATGCACGCTTGTGTGTAGGTACAAGGCGGAGCTGGAACTCTGAAATCTCCCAAACTATGTGGATCGGAAAGGTTATAACCTAGTGTTGTTGAAGTAGACGGCCTAATCTAATGGACTGGCAAGAATATGGCACTAACTACATCTCTATAAACATACGTAATGCGCTGGTCAGTTTGGTCGGTATGGGCGCCTGTAGTGCAGGTACCATGTGCGACTGAAATGCATTTATCTGCCAAATTACATAGATTAGATATGTTAAAAAATGGTAGGGGGTGGGGAATGGTTTAATTTAAAGGAAATGGGAACATATATGGTATTCACTGTACGTGTACAGAAAGAATAATGTGTCGGCTGGTAAGGTCAGTATGCACGCTTGCGTGTAGGTACAAGGCGGAGCTGAAACTCTGAAATCTGCCAAATTATGTGGATCGGAAAGGTTTTAACCAAGTGTTGTTGAAGTAGAAGGCCTAATCTAGTGGATTGGCAAGAATATGGCACTAACTGCATCTCTACAAGCATACGTAATGCGCTGGTCAGTTTGGTCGGTATGCGCGCCTGTAGTGCAGGTACCATGTACGACTGGAATGTATATATCTGCCAAATTACATAGATCCGATTGGTTAAAACATGGTAGGGGGGTGGGGAATGGTATCAGTTAAAGGAAATGGGAATGCATACGGAGAGAAAATGTGTCGGCCGGTAAGGCCTGTATGCACGCTTGTGTGTAGGTACAAGGCGGAGCTAGAACTCTGAAATCTCCCAAACTATGTGGATCGGAAAGGTTATAACCTAGTGTTGTTGAAGTATACGGCCTAATCTAATGGAGTGGCAAGAACATGGCACTAACTACATCTCTATAAACATACGTAATGCGCTGGTCAGTTTGGTCGGTATGGGCGCCTGTAGTGCAGGTACCATGTCCGACTGAAATGCATTTATCTGCTAAATTACATATATTAGATAGGTTAAAAAATGGTAGGGGGTGGGGAATGGTTTAATTTAAAGGAAACGGGAACATATATGGTATTCACT